ATGGGGTCTAGTTGTTTCCACCGCGGACCAAAATCCGACGATTGCAGTCATATTATCGTTAAAATCAGTCATTCGTGTTTTGCGGGGTAACGCGGGGGTAAGAATAAATAAATCTAAGAAAAGAAAAAGTAAACAAACAAAAAAACTTATATAAGTCTATGACCGTGGATATGCTTTTATTTTAACATGAAGAATAAGTAATTTATACGCAGTCCTTGCATTTTTAAAATAATTTTAATTGTTTATTTTCTCATCGCCAGAACCCACGGCAAACTATCCGTATATTCTGCTTTTTAATACCAATACCGGTATAAGGCCTGGGTTACTGAGGATGCCTTTTCTTTGATATAAAAGATATTTTTTTGGTTATGATACAGTTCTAATTTTAACAGTACATTTCTTACTACATCCCCATGTTTTTTTCATGTCTTGCAACAAAAATAACAGCACCCCAAATTTTTACAATTTACGATGAAATATTAGAATAGAGTTCAGGGGCGTAGCTAGGGCAATTTTAAATATACGTACAAATGTACATGCAGGAGGTAAAGGGGGCCACGTAGGCCCCCTTGCAGGTCCAGGGCAGAGCCCTGGTGGGGGTTCAGGGGGCAAAGCCCCCGAAAGCTCCGCGGGTTTAGTCATTTGAGGATGATTCGATTATACAATATCACGTGCATTTAATGTCACATAAATGTGGTTTTAATCCTAAAAAAAGGCAATTTTATTAGACTTAAGATTACACCCAGGGAGATACTAAACGCTGGATCTTTCTAACTTAAATGAGACTTGTAGAGGTAGGTGAAAATCTTGTTTTTCAACAAATCTGAGAATGTTATGCCAAGTAGAACATCTTTCTCGTTGTTTTGGATTTTTCCTTCACTATAAATTTCAACTGAAATTTTACTCGCCAATCTCAGAATGTAACACGCGTTGCATCAGATTTTTTTTCTTGTCGGTCACCATATTTTTAATTTTCTATATATAAAACAACTTAACGAAAAACAAACACTCAGATTAAAAGAAAATGAATAAGCCTTGCATGTATTAAATATGTACGAGTACATGTGTATTAACAACACATGGGTTATTTTTGGCCCTTGACGGTTCTTGTTGGTAAATAGGGATACTCATTTGTATAAAAAAAATATGTTTACACCTGTAACTGATTGAACGTTGAACGATCGGATTTACTGGAAAAATTCGGAAAATACCTGTTGAAATAACTTTTTTGGTAGCAAAACGGGCCCCGAACAGCTTGTCATTCTATTCACACGGACATAAATGCATTATTACGTTAACTTAAATAATCGGGGTCAGGGAAAAAATACAGGTTGCAATAAATTTTGACTAGCGGTACGGCCCCGGACGCTAGCTGTTGCAACTTCTGAAATTGACGTCCAAAAACATTCTGAAATGGAAAATAAAGGCAAATAAATTATTTTAGCAGACTCTAATATAAATTCTTAACTGTACTATTACATGTTTTTCATAAAGTTTACAAGTTCCATTAAAAACTAGTAAAATTCAATCCTTTTCACGATAAATACCACCGCGGTCCACGGAGATTGACCACTCCGTTCCCCCGCAATTAACCACAGTGTTCCGCTGGGGAAACGCTTACGGCTGTAGATTTATGTCCGCGGTGGTGAAAAATTTTCTGTCCGTGGGGACACGCGGACAATATTTGAGCAAATTTTCGTCCGCGATGAGTCACGTCTGCGGGGACACCCGGGTTTTGCAAAAGCCGCGCTGAGCGTACTGTACACAGCAGGTGGCGTAGATTTTTCTACACAATACACTGCCAAATATGGTAAGTACACACCACTGTGTGACAGATGTAATGCACATAAGGATCTATTATTATGCTGGCTAGTGAATGGAGTTAATTAACTAGGTTAATACAGTAGTGGCAAGATAATCTAAATTTTCAATGTACCCTAAAAATTTAACACAAAAAAATCAAAGCTAAAAAATTCTGCTGTTAGTCATTTTAATTTCAAATATTTATATTCCAACCAGATTAATATTATTTGCAGGATAAGTCCTTTTATTCAATAGTAAGGAGAAATGGATTTGCTACACTCCTCCCTTCTTTGTACATTTAGAATCTGACAATTAAGGGCCAGGAAAGGAAATCTTAGGTAGTCATCAAAGCATCAAAACATCTACTGTACGAGGGATGATCAAAAATTAACTGGACTTTGTAAATGGTTTTTTACCTGTTAAATGAATTTACATAAAAATACACGGAAAATAAATCGGAATGTATTCCCTGAATGATACAAAAAATATCAACAAGAAATATTAACAAAGAAAAAAGTTATGCAGTTATTGGCATGCACATGTAAAGCAATACGGCGCACGGTATAACTTTAAAATTGACGTTAACAACGTCACAAGCGTATTGTCCTTAATGGAGCAGCATTTTACTCATTCACGGAGTAGGCCAATACATGTTACAGTCATGTTATTGATGCGGCGGATCCTCTGCCTATATATATTTCTGTACAAATGGGTATCATATTGTATTGTAAAATAATGGATGATGATAAAGAGCTCATGTAATTACGCAAACTTCCGTTCTTTCCTTCTGTAACTTGATTGTTTAAAAAATTGCACATACAATAAACTATATTATGTATTACAAATAATGTAAAGTAATGTTGCTGAATGATAATGTATCATACATACGAAAAACAATAAGAGATTAATACAACTATGAACAAAATTGTCATTTTTTTTTAAATAGCATTTTTGTGTCGCCTCTACGGAGTAGTGGCGACATATAGGGATCACTTCTCTGTCGTCTGTCTGTCTGTCTGTCTGTCTGTCTGTCCGTCCGTCCGTCACAAAACTTGTCCGGACTACCCCTCATAAACTACTGGTGCAATTTCATCCAAACTTTACAGGAATGATCAGTATCAAGTCTAGTTGTGCATATTGTCAGCATTTTCCGGTTCAATGATTTTTGTCAGAGTTATGGCCCTTTAATAATTTTTAATTTTAAAGTTTGTCCGGACTACTTCTCTTATACCACTAATGCAATTTCAATGAAACTTTACAGGATTGATCTGTAGCTCAAGTCCTTGCGCATATTGCAAGGGTTTTCCGGTTGAATAATTTTTGGCCGAGTTATGGCCCTTTGATAAAAAGGTGTTTTTTTCTGTGTGTTGCCAGATATACAATAGCTTGTCCGGACTACCCCTCATAAACTACTGGTGCAATTTCATCCAAACTTTACAGGAATGATCAGTACCAAGTCTAGTTGTGCATATTGTCAGCATTTTCCGGTTCAATGATTTTTGTCAGAGTTATGGCCCTTTAATAATTTTTATTTTTAAAGCTTGTCCGGACTAGTTCTCTTATACCACTTATGCAATTTCAATGAAACTTTACAGGATTGATCTGTAGCTCAAGTCCTTGCGCATATTGCACGGGTTTTCCGGTTGAATGATTTTTGGCTGAGTTATGGCCCTTTGATAAAAAGGTGTTTTTTTTCTGTGTGTTGCCAGATACGCAAAAGCTTGTCCGGACTAGTACTCCTCATAAGCTACTGGTGCAATTTTATCCAAACTTTACATGATTGATCAGTACCAAGTCTAGTTGTGCACTGTCCGTCTGTCTGTCCGTCTGTCACAAAATTTGTCCCAACATGAAATTGGCCATTATGAGGCGACACATGTGATTACTGATCGCTCTTGTTTTAAATAGATAAAACGCATAGTCGATCTTGAACAATGACACAATTTCTCCATAAGACTACTGCGTAAAATGAGAAAATAATTGATACAATTGTAAACCAAGAATACAATATATGTAATTAATGCATATAAAATAAACAACAACAAAACTGTTACATTGTATGTCTGCTATTATTTGAAATATTAGACAAAGAAAATATCAACAGAAATACATTTGCCTACATATTTTTATTTGTCTAAATACATGTTCAGTATATCATGGCAGACTATATACTGTGTATTGCTACACTCCGTATGCTCAAATTTTGTATCAATTGCAATTAAAAAAAAAAAAAAAAAAATCCCCTACAAAAAGCACTACAAACAAACAATTTTTTAAGGATGGCCCAGTACTTTAACCCATTACTGCATGAGCATTTTGTGAAAAATGGCTGTCATTGAAAAGTCACCCGTTACAAGTTCAAATTACTATAAAATTATAAAAACTGCTTCAATACTAATCAAACTTGGCACAAATGTTGACTGGACCATTGACTTTGTAACAACGTGCACAGTCTTAAAGTTCCTGTTACTATGGCAACGAGGGGACATCTCAAAATTGCCAAAAATCACTATTTTGCTTTGATTTTTTTCCATCAAAATCAATTTCAAAGTGCTGCAACTTCTCAATGGATTGAGATAGCGTCAAAGGCTTTTCAGCGTTGGTTACACGTTACCTTATGATTGATCTGGGGTCATTTTTAGCCCCTCACAAGTCCAAAATTTTCTTGGCCTCCTGATGTATCTTTTGGATACGATGTGCGCCAAAAAAAGTGGTCACTTTTTAAACAACATTTCTCAGACGAAAACAAGTGTTGGGGGCCTTAGTAAGGCATTTTTTCACCATTTAAGCCAACAAAAAGGAGGGGGGTTTGAAAAAGGCGTTAAAAGGCGTGTATATCGTGTAATGGGTTAATGTCAGACTTCATTATATTTTGGAACTGTGTAATGTTTCGCTAATATATTGTCCCCACTTAAGAAAGAACCTATGCCTGTCCAAAAGTTTAAAGTATCCGAAATATCAGATGATTAAAGTTGAATTTTAAGCCATCCTTTAATGCTACTGTATAGAAGGAAAGAGAAGGCCTAGAATATGACATTGACCTTTGAAAACCTTGAAGAAATCTTGTTTCTGGAGTAAAAATTGTTTGCCAGGGAGGGGGGATATTAATCACATTAATCATTTATTCATAGTCGCCATTTTGTCTATTTGTCCTCATTTTATATCTTTGCATACTGACATGTTACCTTGTTTTACAGATGGACACGGCAGAAGAAGATACCTTATATAGATGTCAGAACTATTCTGCCAGAAGATATGAAATTCTGTCTAAATGATTGGCAGCTGTTCGGCTTTGTATGTGAATTTATCATTTGCTTTTAACTTGATATTGGTACCAAAAGACAAAAAAGAGAAAATAAGAATCCCTCAAGAAAGTCCAAAACGGCAAAATTGAAAATGTTGCAGGCTTGGTTTGATTATCCTGTTCATGAACGGTTCTGTCAAGTGCAAACTACATCCACGCCCCCTAGCACTGGCTCAACATTTGGCAAAATTTTGAAACATCTGCAGATATATTCATACGGCGGTTATCATGGAACCTTAAATGTGACACTTCCATGTCATTCCATGAAGATATTAAAATCGAGTGTAGTAAAGATTATGAAAATAATGATTAATTCAAGTGTCTTAAAGATTTGGAAGATAATGATAAAATGGAGTGTAGTAAAGATGGTGGGTGTATTTATCACTCCTATGACAGCTGTAGTTTATTCTGTATAAATGGAAAAAAAGTCACAACGTAACAAGTATTCATGATTTTCACCAGTTTATAGAAATTAAGAACATATTAGCCAGCAAATATTTCATCAACCGTATGTCTCTTGGTAACCAGATGGATATGATCAATTATATAGGTTACTATAAATAGGAAATCATTTGTCACCTGTGTCAGTAACAGGTTAATTCCTTATGTAATTTAATAGGAGTTAAATCGTTAATACACAAAGGTATATGAGAAATATGACCTTAATTTGATAAATATGACCTGATATCCTCACCAAGAATCTTATTCTTTTGTTTATCAGGGTAGCAACAAATGTACAAAGAAGTTAGAAATGCTTATCCATTTATTTACCATACCCTGCATATAGTTGTGCAGTGTTGGTCTGTCTCTTGTCTAGGGCTGTCAGTAGATGCAATGAAAATTTGTGTTTTAAATTAGGATCATGGTGTTATGCATGCTTGTAATAGACATTACAAATATTGCAAACTAACAAAAGTTTGTTTTTTCTGTTATTTTTGTCACTGACATTTAAAGTTCAAATTAGCCAAGAAAACTGGGAAAAAGTGACTTCTCTTATTATGCAAAATAGAAGATATATTCACTAACAGATATAAATAGATTTTAGCTTGTATCGATATTTGAAAGTGTGTATCGATATTGTATCGAACGATGAATATCGATGATATATCGATATTGCTATATTCAGTGACAGCCCTACTCTTGTCCCATCCATCAACATTTGTGTCCGGTCAATAACTTTCTCACAAGTGGATGGATTTTTAAATTACTTTGTAAAAATGTGCACCAATGGAGACAGTGTATTGTGCACAAAACCCAGGTTAGTAGGTCAATTCTTGCATATCAGATAGGATTATCTGTTTACACCAGTGCTAGGAAAACCTGTCTTTTACACCCACCCGTTGTAAGAAAGTTCACATGCTTTAAATGACGTCAATACCACGCATCTTTTATGAAGGAATTGCGTTCTTAGAATGACCTCATTTTGCCATTATGAATGAATTTGTAAATTCATACTGTAGTATGAGAAAAAAGAACAACATGAAAGTATAAGTTTTCGCAATTTATTTCTGAAATATGATGAATATGTTATAAAATTATGCAAGAAAAGAAAGCAAACACCAGCTACCGGTACATACGGGAATATTTAGCTCTTGGGTATCTAACTGTTTAACAGAAACTCGGCTCAGCCTCGTAACCACCATAAACAGTTACCCTTGAGCTAGATATTCCGATCTTTACCGGTAGCAGTTGTAAGATCCTTATAAGATCACACTGACATCAAAGAAGACTTTTCATAAAAGTGCAACAATTCTGTCATTTTTGGATGGATTTTATGGATTTTTTTTTTTACCTGGGTGTAATTTTGTCACACACTAAGAAAACTTGTCATGCACATATGTTTGTTTTACAAGAAGAAAATTGAATGTTACATTAAAAAAATGTACTTGGATGTCAGGATAGTACATTGATAGATAGATGAATCTACTGTCTAGTCATATTTTTGTCATTCATTCAGGGATGCTTTTTTAAATAATTGGGAAGTTTAGGAATATAAGAAAATATTTGTACTTGTTTCTTTATCATTAACATTCTTTGTATAGAAAATGACTTTAGATTCTTCCATGAGAAGAAGCTATCCAGCTTAAGCTTATGGATCGTTGGTGGTACCTAAAATAATGCATGAATGAGAAACCAGAGGTTTTCCTCCTTCAGTAAAGTTTGAAAGTCGCCGATTTGCGATTACATGTATACTCGCTGCGATTGTATGACATAAAAACCAACAGTCCGTTGATCTGTTTACATATTATCATTCTTATCAAGGAATACATTCATTTCTTGTATAATATAAGTGTGGGGGCTAAGAAATCTCTTATTTGAAATTGTTTTTTGTTTTTCACTTAACACATTCCTGGATATCAAACAAGGTGATAATTTATTAAAAGCAGGTTGGGAATCTCATATTCAGAACAAAAGGTGTTAATCAAAGTCATATCATTTTTTTTTATATAAGAAACAACATTTGAAAATGTTTTGAACACCGTTTTTGTTTTTTTGAACGCGTTAAATTCATATGATAAAAATAAAGGTTTTTCAAAACAAAATTTAGAAAATAAAGGTAAAATTGCAAAATTGGTAATCCAGGGTTCAATGACAGTGGTTTCAATAGCAATTTTGACTATGTAAGTTTCCAGTTTTGTCATATGTATGTTAAATTTACCTATTTAATGTACATAGTATATACAGTGTAACTTCTGAAAACCAGACACCTGTTGGACTAGCCAAAAAGTTCTGAATAGAGAAGTTTCCGTAATTCAGAAATTTGAAATTATCTGAACAAGTAAAAACATTAAACATCTGTTGTTTAAATAGACATAATGAAAGGTCTATGAAAGCTGTTTAAGTTTATAAAATGGCCAAATTATAGGATTATAGAAAAAGTTTATATCTATATTATATTTCATTTTTACCTTTAACTGAATTTGTTGATACAATAACATAATGTTACTTATTTGGTATAGTTCATGAAATACCAGCCATTAACCTATAAGGTTTGTTATTTACATTATACTTCCCCGTTTCTTAATTTTCACTTGTGACTTTAATAGGTGTCAAGATAAATGGTTTCTGCTAATTGGAAGATACCGACTTTTTGAAGGTATTACAATCTTGAGGATAATATAACTTCACAACTTTTTCAATTTCCGATTTTTGGAAGGAAATTTGAATTGATATAACTCAAATTTTACCAGAAAGTCATTCGGAATTCAGAATTTAGACGTTCCATAATTTAGAGGTATTTATTACATGGAAAACAGAAGGATTAATTTTGGGACCCTGAAAAATGTTCAAATTTCAGAAGTTTGATGATTTTAGAAGTTCCGGAATTCGGAAGTTACACTGTATAATAAAGTAATAATGATGCTTTGAAAGGCAGGACACTATATCAACATCAAATGACGTTTTTTATGTTTACTTTGTAAGTCATACTGACTTAAAGGTCACATGGCGACTTCCAACATTACAGACCATCTGGTTAGCTCAATAGGTAGAGTGTTGGACTGTGAACCCAGCGACAGCGACCCAGGTTTGATTCCCGGATTGTGCAGGTTACTTTCGTTGTGATTGATCATGAAATATTTTCTATGATCATTTTCATTGTACCTCTGCTCTTGCATGTACAGAAGTAACAGTTCCTTGTGAACTAATGCTGGTTAACTGCTTGACTGATTGCCCAGGTATGATACGGTGGTAGATGTGGTGGTAGAACTGTGTTTTGGTTAATACAATTGTGGTCAGTCCATCTGTACGCACTTTCGTGTCTGCTCCATAACTTTTAAAACCGCTATAACTTGGCACAAGTGATCACCATAATGAGACAATGTGCAGAGCACAATAACTGGGTTACTACCCCCTCCCCAAGGTCAAGGTCACACTTAAAAGGTCAATTGTTTAAAAGTCTACATTTTGTGTGCGCTCCATAACTTTTAAACTGCTGAAAGTTTTTTGAAATAACTTGGCACAAGTGATCACCATAATGAGATGATGTGAAGAGCGCAATAATTGAGTCGCTACCCCTTAGGTCAAGGTCACACTTAAAGGTCAAATGTTAAAAAATCTTCATTTCATAATAAAAGTCTACATTTCGTGTCCACTCCATGACCATTAAACCACTGAAATTTTTTTAAAAAAAACTTGGCCCAAGTAATGACCATAATGAGACAATGTGCAGAATGCAATAATTGGGTTGCTACCTCTAAGGTCAAGGTCACACTTAAAGGTCAAATGTTAAAAGTCTACATTTGTGTCGGTTCCATAACTTTTAAATCCCTGAAAAAATTTTTAGCTTATGATTGTTGACTGTCCGTCGTCCATGCACACTTGTTTGTTAACACTCTAGCGGTCACATTTTTGCCTCGATTATCATCAAACATGGTCAGAATGCTTGTCTAGGTAATTGCTCAAATGAGTTTGAAGATGGGTCATCTTGGATGAAAAACTAGGTCATAGGATCTAAAAATATAAAAATCTTATTAACACTCTAGTGGCTACTGTTTTTATCTCGGATTAAAGCTAAAAATAGAAAAACCTTGTAAACACTCTTGTGGTCACATTTTGACTCAATTTTCATCAAACTTGGTCAGGATGCTTGTTTATGTGATTGCTCGAATGAGGTTTAACATGGGTCATCTTGGATGAAAAACTAGGTCACAGGATCTAAAAATAGAAAAATCTTATTAACACTTTAGTGGCTACTGTTTTGATCCAAATATGCTGGAACTTGATCTGAAAGTTTGTTTTGATGATTTCTAGGTCAAGTTTGAATATGGGTCACTTGGGGTCAAAAACTAGGTCACACTGCCCAAATATGGAAAAGCCTTGTAAACACTCTGGTGGTCACATTTTTGACTCATTTGTCATTAAACTTGGTCAGGATGCTTGTCTAGGTAATTGCTTGGATAAGTTAAAACATGGGTCATCTGGGATGAAAAACTAGGTCACAGGAGCTTAAAATAGAAAAGTCTTGTTAACACTTTAGTGCCTACTGTTTTGATCCAAATATCCTGGAAATTAGTCTGAAAATTTGTTTTGAAAGTTCTTAGGTCAAGTTCGAATATGAGTCACTTTGGGTCAAAAACTAGGTCACACCGCCCAAATATGGACAAACCTTGTAACACTCTGGTGTTCACATTTTTGACACAATTGTCATCAAACTTGGTCAGGATGCTTGTTTATGAAATTGCTTAGATCATTTTGAACATGGGTTGTCTCAGATAAAAAACAAGGTCACAGGAGCTAAAAATAGAAAAACCTTGTTAACTCTCTAGTGGTCTTATTTTTGACTCAATTGTCATCAAACTTGGTCAGAATGCTTGTCTATAATAGCTCGGATGAGTTTGAACATGGGCTTGGTGAGCCATCTAGGGCCATCATGGCCATCTTGTTTAATAACTTGCCACAAGTGATCACCATTATGAGACAATGTGCAGAGGGCAATAATTGAATTGGTTACCCAAGGTCAAGGTCACACTTACAGGTCAAATGTTAGTAAGTCTTCATTTCCTGTCTGTCCATGACATTTAAACCGCTGCAATGTTTTTAAGATAACTTTGAAGAAATGATCACCATTGTAACACCATTGGCAAAGCACAATAATCAAGTCACAACCCTTCAGGTTAGGATCACACTCAAAAGTCCAATGTAAAAACATCTATTTTTTCATGTCAGCTCTATAACTTATTGACAATTCAAAGGTTTTATAATTACTTGGCACTAATGATCCCCACCATGACACAATCTGCAGAGCTGAACATCGAGGTTCCTACCCCCAGGTCAAGGTTATATGTTCTCCATAATTTTTTGACTTTATGGAAGATTTTAACTAACTTGGCACAAATAATCACAATTCATGAGACTATGTGCTTATGATATGCATGGCACAACATCAAGGCCATGGTTTACTAAGGTCAAGAATTACAAATTCATGTTCACTGCGGAAGGTGATTTAGCTGTCCTTCAGACTACTTTGTTTATTTTTGTCTTTATGTGCACCAACAATGTAAAGGACATATGGCAACTTTCCAGCTTTAATGATGGAGGAATACCTCAGGCATTCTTACGTGCATTGTTTCAGGCAAAAATGGGCACTTGAGTTAAAGCAAGTTGTTTAAAGCGAATGAACTTTACCACTTGACAACAGACATCCCCCTAATCTTTGAGTTAAAACACCACCCAAACAGAAGATTTAAAACGTATTTGTTTTTTTTAAGGGTTCACCACCGACATTGCAACAGATTCGTCAAACTGCTGGAACAATTGCCTCCTACATTGATTTGAGCAAATTCCCAGACTTCCCTCTGCAGGAACTTGTAAATAAATATATAGTACTGATGGACCTTCCAGGTACATTGTAATTCTTGTTTCATTTTAATCTTAAATTGTAATTGAACTGTCTGTCCATCTGTCTGTCTGTATAAGGGTAACTTAATGGGCAAGTTGGATTTATGTTATGTTCTAGCTGAACCAATGGCTTCATAATTAACACACTTTACTAATCAGTGCTAAATCAAGATCAAGGGTACCAAAAATTGATTTCTACACATTTGCTTAAATTGCCTTTATTTATTGACAGATGTTTTTCTCATTTGAAATGAACTTTCCTTGGATGGTCCAGTATTAGGAGTCACAAGGTCACCTGTGTTAGACTTTTTACATTTTTTTGTAATGGCTATATATATTTTTTTTTACCATTATCTTTCATATTTGGAAGGAACATACCTTGAATGGTCCTTTTAAATTAATATGTTTGAATAACTCTTAATGGTATATTCTTTAACTTCATCAATTCAAATAGCAGTTACATGCCAACGTACATTTTTCACAGTAAGAAGAGGTCATGACTGTGTCAATTTATATAAATGTGTCTACAATCTTTTTAGCAATTTACCGTCCCTAACTGAGTAAATGAGTGACACTTTTTAAGAAAATTTATTACTGACAAGAATCTGAGCGGGAGGCATTTGTGTTTAAAAACATGTTCTTGTTAATAAAGTCAACAACATTATTGTAGAATGATAATTGGGAATTTACTATTCTCACTTCAGAAAATAATAAACTTTTGCATTTAAAATGCCTATGTTTACCTTAATTATTAGATAATAATCATAACAGAAAAAGACCTGCGATTTTTATTTAGATGATTGACAAAAGGACCACAATTTCTCTTATCAAATAGTATTTGAGCTGCGTCACGACAAAACCAACATAATGGGTTTTGCGATCAGCATGGATTCAGACCAGTCTGCGCATCCGCGCAGTCTGATCAGGATCCATGCTGTTCACTTACAAACCATATGACAAGTAAAGAAACTGATAGGGAACAGCATGGATCCTGATCAGACTGGGCGGATGCGCAGGCTGGTCTGGATCCATGCTGGTCTCAAACCCATTGTGTTGGTTTTGGCATGACACGGCTCATTTCAGTTTCATGTTTTGCTTATACTTTGTTTTTTGCAGTGGAGTTTCATGAATATGCTATGAATCTGCTGAGGTTAATGCCAGTTAACCTAGAGTATGTACCAAATAGCAATAAAAAGTATACAATCTTCTGGGAAGGCATAGCTATGGCCTATATTGTGATCTTGATGAAGTTGATATTTGGACTGACAGATACCCATGAAATGTAAGTTTTTGTGTTGTTTTTCTTTTATGCTCCCCGAATAATTTCGGGGGAGCATATAGCTGTCAGGTTGTCCGAATGTACGTCCCGAATTTGTGTCCGGCCCATAACTTTGTTATTTGAAGTCGAATTTTAAAACTATTTCACAGAAATGATCACCATATTGAGACGACGTGTCGCGCGCAACATTTGGGTCGCTACCTTAAAGCTCAAGGTCACAGCATGACCTTGCAGCAAAATCGTGTCCGGCCAATAACTTTGTTATTTAAAGTCGGATTTTAAAACGATCACCATATTGAGACGACATGTAGCGCGCAACATTTGGGTCGCTACATTGAAGGTCAAGGTCACAGCATGACCTTGCAGCAAAATCGTGTCCGGCCCATAACTTTGTTATTTGAAGTCGGATTTTAAAACTATTTTACAGAAATGATCACCATATTGAGACGATGTGTTGAGCGCAATATTTGGGTCGCTACCTTGAAGGTCAAGGTCACAGTATGACCTTGCAGCAAACTCGTGTCCGGCCCATAACTTTGTTATTTGAAGTTGGATTTTAAAACTATTTCACAGAAATGATCACCATATTGAGACAACGTATCACACGCAACATTTGGGTCACTACCTTGAAGGTCAAGGTCACAGCATGACCTTGCTGCAAAATCGTGTCCGGCCCATAACTTTGTTACTTGAAGCCGGATATAACAACTATTTCTTAGAAATGATCACCATATTGAATAGACGTCTCATATGCAACATTTGGGGTGCTTCCTTGAAGGTCAAGGTCACAGCATGACCTTACAGCAAAATCGTGTCTGGCCCATAACTTCGTTATGTTACAACTATTTCACAGAAATGATCACCATATTGAGACAATGTGTCGTGCACAACATTTGGGTTGTTTTTACACTTTGAAATTTGTCTGTGACATAACTCTGACACTACAAGAGATATACCTTCCTGTGTCCAAAACCTATTCGGGGAGCATCACCCAGTTCAACCGGCTCTTGTTTTGTTTTGTTTTTTTTGGGGGGGGGGGGGGGGGTATTTTTCACAGCTGGCTGTTATGAAAATAAGTTCTCAAAAATGGCATCATAGGATTGGTTGTATATTAATGTTATTTTTAGAGAGGGGTGTCAATGGCTAAGTGGTTAAGGTGTCAACTTCAAACCAATTGCCTCTCATCACTGTAGGTTCGAGCCAAGCTAACGTCTTTGGATTCTTCATGTGAGAAAGCTATCCAGCTAGCTTACAAAACATTGGTTGTTCTACTCAGATGCCTGTTAATGCTTAAAATAATGTAAAGAGGGACACCTCAGGTCCTTGTCCACCCATAAAGCTGGAAAGTCGCCATATGACCTATACTGTGTTGGCGAGACATTTAGCCCAATCAAACAAAAAATGAAGTTATTTTTAAATGCATTTTTTTTTTTTAAGAAAAAATGAGAGACTGTTGTTAGGAGTCTTGGATAAGCTTCTGCTTACCTTATCAGAAATATCACTTAAATCTTTAAATAAAATGTCTGAGATGATAACTTGTACTAGGAATAACTCATACTGGGAGTACTTATTACATTTTATAAAAATTAATTGATTTTAACAGCGTAAATAAACTTGATATTCGTTTTTTGGTGTGTGTGTTTTTTTTTAAACCATTGTTTATTGGCAGTTTAACACCATTTTGTTTTGTTTTTTGCTCGACTTTTCGCAGAATAATCGAGCTAATGCAGTCATCCATTAAAAAGTGTCAGCGTCCCTGTGGTAAAGTTTTTGCATGTAAGCTGGTATCTCCATTACTACTGAAGAGAATGGATTGAAACTTCACAAACTTGTTTTCTGTGATTATCTGACATGATTTGCACGAGTCCAATAACTCTGATTCGCTTTTTGCATAATTATGCCCTTTTTTCGACTTTTAAATTCTTGGTAAAGTTTTTGCTTGTAAGCTGGTATCTCCATAACTACTGAAGGGTTTGTACCTTTTTTAGGACAATTTTATGCATTCATAATAATAAAGCAGTGATTTACTCGATAAAGCGTCTTAATAACAAGGCTTTGTACCTTTTTGGACAATTTTATGTATTCATAATAGGTTAGCATTATTATACTCAAAGAAACACCCTTGTGACAACTTTTTCGAAAAGTCAAGCATCACTGTCCTCCGACAGTTCTTGTTTCTTCTTGGTGTATAGTGACAAAATCACAGGGTATAAAAATACTTATCACTATTATTTTATACACAGGTTATTATCAGAGTACAGTAAGGAACTGATGGAGTTTGCTGAGTATGGTAAGAAGTCTAATGTGCAAATATTTTGTGAATTTATCTTTCATCATTGTTTTTAAGAGAGTGGCAAACCAGTAAAGCTGGGAAGTCACTATATCGAGGGCTTGGTGCAAAAGGGTTGAACTCATATCAAATAAAGAAGGAATTACGACCCTTTCACACCAAACTGTCGATATAACCTTTAGTTGTTGATGTGACCTAAGGTCATGGCTACCTTTTAGTTAAAGTTTAGAACTAGGTTTAAGTGTTTGATTTATTTTACCACTTCTGGCATATATAGGTCAAATATTTATCAAGCATGGAGACATTGTGCAGGATGCATATATATTTCAGTATTTCAGTATTAAATGTTGAAGTTATTTAGGTGTCCTTGGCTGAGTTTTTAAGGTCACTGACTTCAAACCACTTGCCTCTCCCACACCCATTGAAGAATTTTAATGAAACTTCATAGAAATGTTTACCGCTATGAGAAGTCGTGTGGCGCGCATGAACCAGGCCTCGAGGTCAAGATCAAGGTGACAGAGATCATTGAAAAACATTTGTCCGGAGCAAAACTTTTACATGCATAGAGAGATTTCAATTTAACTTGGCACAAATGTTCACTATTGTGAGGCAGAGTGTCGCATGCAAAATTTAGGTCCCTGCAGCCAAGGTCAAGGTCACACATAGGGGTCAAAGTTCAGATAAAAATATGAAAATGTGTATTGGGACCATTTAGTCATCATTTATTGAGGGATTGAAACACAAATGGTCATTATCATGACTACTGGTGTGAAACATGTAATTTAGGTTAATATATGCAAGGTCAAGGTCACTAAAGATGATTGTCAAGGTCACTAAAGATGATAAAATATAGAGATTTTGTCCAGAGCATATCTCCTACACATATGGAGGGATTCTAATGAAACTTCATACAAATGTTCACCACTATGAGAAGCTGTGTCCCGTGCATGAACCAGGTCTCTAGGTCAAAGGTCAAGGTCACACTTAGAGGTCATTGAAAAACGCTTGTCCGGAGCAAAACTTCTACATGCATAGAGGGATTTCAATATAACTTGGCACAAATGTTCACTATTGTGAGGCGGAGTGTCGCGTGCAAAATTTAGGTCCCTGCGGCTAAGGTCAAGGTCACACATAGGGGTCAAAGTTCAGATAAAAAAATCACTAGAGATGATATATATATCCAGATATTGCCCAGAGCATATCTCCTATATGCATATCTATAATGCCCACATCTCTGTCAAAAGCTTCTGTGACGGGCGTATATTGCCACAATGTTGCCCTTGTTTTATTTGTTATCTCAAACAAATTTGAGTTTGAGCATAAAATGCCACAAGTTTGCAACATTCTCATTGTTCACATGTTTTTGTGGTTTAAATTAAAAAAAAAAAAACAGAAATAAATAAAAAAAAAAACCCAGAAACATGCAGATGGTCTTTTACATGTACATTATACATGTTTATCATAATTAAATTTATGCATGTATCTTATTAAACATCACCAAGGAAAACCACGAATATACTGTATACAAGTGGAATATAGATTCATGACTCTTGTTACATCAATGATAATTTTTGTGTCGCGTTCAAAAAGGCGACATATAGGGGTTACTTTTGTCGGCGTCGGCGTCGTTGTCGGCGACCCCTTTTAGCTTGTCCAGAGCATAAGTCAGTCTTTATAAGTCGGATTGACTTCAAACTTGGTATGCATGCTTCTTATAATGACCCGAAGTGCAGTGCACAAGAACTGGTACTCTGCATTTCTTATTAGCTGACAGGGTGAGCTTTTGTGATCGCTTTTCATCCCGCGTCCGTCCCTCCCTCGTCCATCCGTAAACTTTTGCTTCAAATGACATCTCCTCATAAAACACTAAGCCAATTTCATCCAAACTTCACAGGAATGTTCCTTTGGTGGTCACCTTTAAAAAATTGTTCAAAGAATTTAATTCCATGCAGAACTCTGGTTGCCATGGCAACCGAAAGAAAAAACTTTAAATACCTTCTATTAAAGAACCCAAAGAGCTAGAGCTTAGATATTTGGCATGAAACATCTTCTAATGAGTGTCTACCAAGTTTGTTCAAATAAAAGCCCTGGGGTCAAAATTGGCCCTGCCCCAGGGGGTCATTGATTTTCCCTATATGCATATAGTAAAAACTTAAAAAATTTCTTTTAAAGAACCCAAAGAGCTAGAGCTTAGATATTTGGCATGAAACATTTTCTAATGAGTGTCTACCAAGTTTGTTCAAATAAAAGCCCTGAGGTCAAAATTGGCCCCGCCCCAGGGGGTCATTGATTTTCCTTATATGCATATAGTAAAAACTTAAAAAATCTTCTTTTAAAGAACCCAAAGAGCTAGAGCTAAGATATTTAGCTGAAACATCTTCTAGTGAGTGTCTACCAAGTTTGTTCAAATAAAAGCCCTGGGGTCAAAATTGCCCCCGCACCAGGGAGGTCATTGATTTTCCCTATATGCATATAGTAAAAACTTAAAAAATCTTCTTTTAAAGAACTCAAAGAGCTAGAGCTAAGATATTAAACATGAAACATCTTCAAGTGAGTGTCTACAAAGTTTGTTCAAATTAAAGCCCTGGGGTCAAAATTGGCCCCGCCCCGGGGGTCATTGATTTCCTTATATGTGTATAGCAAAAACTTAAAAAATCTTCTTTTAAAAAACCCAAATAGCTAGAGCTTAGATGTTTAGCATGAAACATCTTCTTATGGGTGTCTACCAAGTTTGTTCAAATAAAAGCCCTTGGGTTAAAATTAACTCTGCCGGGGGGGGGGGGGGGAAGGTCATTGTTTTTCCTTATATGTGTATAGCAAAAACTTAACATCATGAAACATCTTCTAATGGGTGTCTTAATTCCAAGTTTGTTCAAATAAAAGCCCTGGGGTTTAAACTGGCCCCGCTTTGGGGGCCTATATACAGGTGAGCATCCTCAGGGCCATCATTGCCCTCTTGTTTTTAGAGTTATTGCCCTTTGTTAATTTTCATACTTTATTTTTGTCCGGGCCATTTCTCCTTAAGTATAAAATCTATAGACTTGAAACTTCATAGGATGATAGATCTCATTAAGAAGAAGTGCAGTGCACAAGAACTGGTACTCTGCATTTCTTATTTTTTGAGTTATTGCCCTTTGTTTATTTTCATACTTTATTTTTGTCCAGGCCATTTCTCCTAAAGTATAAAAGCTTTAGACTTGAAACTTCATAGGATGATAGATCTCATTAAGAAGAAGTGCAGTGCACAAGAACTGGTACTCTGCATTTCTTTTTTTTTTTGAGTTATTGCCCTTTGTTTATTTTCATACTTTATTTTTGTCCAGGCCAATTCTCCTAAAGTATAAAAGCTATGGACATGAAACTTCATAGGATGATAGATCTCATTAAGAAGAAGTGCAGTGCACAAGAACTGGTACTCTGCATTTCTTTTTTTTGAGTTATTGCCCTTTGTTTATTTTCATACTTTATTTTTGTCCAGGCCAATTTTCCTAAAGTATAAAAGCTATGGACATGAAACTTCATAGGATGATAGATCTCATTAAGAAGAAGTGCAGTGCCCAAGAACTGGTACTCTGCATTTCTTATTTTTTGAGTTATTGCCCTTTGTTAATTTTCATACTTTATTTTTGTCCATGCCATTTCTCATAAATTATAAAAGCTTAAGACTTGAAACTTAATAGGATGATAGATCTTATTGATAAGAAGTGCAGTGCACAGAAACTGCTGCTCTGCATTTCTTATTTTTTGAGTTATTGCCCTTTGTTGATTTTTAAATTTCATTTTTATTCTGGCCATTTCTCCTAAACAATATTGTTCACAAGGCGACACATCCAACTCGCGGAGTTCTAGTTTCATACAATATTGACACCTTGTTGATATTTCCTAGACTTATCTACAATGTAATTATAACTATGATGTAACCTGTGCAATATGTATGTTTTATTTCAGGCCAGCCTCTTTTTGTGTGGACAGATTGGGTTCAGCATATGAAAAACAAAATGAAAGTACGAGACCTACAAGAGACAATGTGGTAAGCTTGCTAATAGCACATTATGCCTGCCATTATAGGCACATTATGCCTGCCATTAAAGCCATGTTATGCATGCCATTAAAGGCACATTATGCCTGCAATTAAAGCCACATTATTTATGCCATTAAAGGCACATTATGCCTGCCATTAAAGGTACATTATGCCTGCCATTAAAGCCACATTATGCCTGCCATTAAAGGCTTATTATGCCTATCATTAAAGGCACATTATGCCTGCCATTAAAGGCACATTATGCCTGAGAAACAAATAAATGTTAACTTCTTTAGAAAGGGCAAATGTTTAAACAATGGTTTTAGAGAATGTAAGATATACTTGTTACAAGAAGAAAGTAGCCATAAGTTTGAAATAATTTGTCATAAAAGTAGCAAAATAAAATCAAAGTAGTATTTTGACTTTCATACAAAATACATATTAACTATAACTGTTGTTTTGCCAAAAGGCAACAGATGAAAAAGATGGTTCAAATGATTGGCCAATGAGCAACATTTTGAATGCAATAAGAGTACACCAAAATTAAAAAGCTTTTAAAAAATAAAAATGAAAGCATTTTTAGGCGTTATGGGCCTTTAATTCATACAATCAATTCATTGTAGCCAAATGGTTGATACTTGTGATATTATAAAAAATACTTGCCAGTGATTGTTGTGCGTTCAGATCCTATCAGGTTCTTAAAATTGCTGAAATTATAAATGTTGCTAATGACCTAATATGTATGCATAATTCGTCTTCTCAGTGCAGTAATGGGTTAACTCCTATTAAATTATGTAAGGAGTTAATCTGTTACTGCACTAAGGTGACAGGTATGAACCATTACCCAAATTTATGGCATTTTCAATATACAAATCTTTTGTTTGTTAGATAGCTCATGTTTTTATCATTTCAGTTTTGATAAAGACCACACTTCCGCTGGTATGCTTAGTGATAGAATAAAATCAACAAGTTACATGTGTAAAGGTCAGTATTGTGTTAATTTCTTGTCATTTTCCGAGAATCATACAGGTTGTTTATAATCAACATTGCAGTCTTTTTTAGCTCACCTGTCACAATGTGACATGGTCAGCTTTTGTGATCGCTTTTCGTCTGGCATCCTTCCGTAAACTTTTTTCTTTAAACGACATCTCTTCATAAACCGCAAAGTCAGTTTCATCCAAACTTCACAGGAATGTTCCTTTGGTAGTCAACTTTAGAAACTGTTCAAAGAATTTAATTCCAAGCAGAAATCTGGTTGCCATGGCAATCGAAGAGAAAAAACTTATAATATCTTTTAGAAAACTGAAAGTGCTAGAGCTTAAATATTTGGCATGAAACATCATCTAGTCAGTGTCTACCAAGTTTGTTCAAATAAAAGCCCTGGGATAAAAATTGGCCCAGCCCCAGGGGGCCATTGTTTTTCCTTATATGTGTATAGTAAAAACTTAAAAAATATTCTTATAAAAAACCCAAAGAGCTAAAGCTTAGATATTTATCATGAAACATCTTCTAATAGGTGTCTACCAAGTTTGTTCAAATAAAAGCCCCTGGTTTTAAAATTGGTGTTGGCCCAGGGGCCTATATACAGGCGAGTTCAAGGTCATCATGGCCCTCTTGTATAAATATCCTTGATGTTATTATTATTTATTTTTTTTAGCTCACCTGAGCACAAAGTGAGCTTTTGTTTTAACAGTGCATCTGTAGGGCTTTGTTAGTAGCAGCAAACATTGTTGATAATACAAAATCTCCTCCTATGACAATAGCTACCACATACTACGAGTACTCGTACTAAATAGCCATTGCATATAGAGAACAAACTGTCCAATCACCTCGCAATACAACAGTTACTGCTTAAATGGCTATCATCAGGGCAACATATGTGTTCACTGGTTGCTCTTGTATTTAATCTAGCTAATGTTTTCACAATTTTAATTTCTCAAAAACTATCACTGATATTCACTTAAAACTTGGAATACTTGTTCATTATCAAAACTGAAATACATTTTTATAAAAGGTAGATCACAGAAAATCATTTCAAATTTGAATTACTTGTTAACAAATAATTTAAAGATATTCACTTTAAACTTGGAATACTTTTTCATTATCAAAATAAAAGGTAGATAACCTTGACATGTTTTTTTGCTTAATTATCTCCCTTTTTCATATTTTCTTAATTTGCTAAAAACCATCACAGAGTATCATTTCAAATTTGAAATACTTACTTACAAATAATTCTGCCATGCTGTATTTTAGAATTATGCTTTTCTACCTTGCATTTATCAAGTACTGATAAAAGTGGAGTTCGTTGCTCCTGTTTGTTTAAATCTGAGGTTGACATCTTATTAACAGGAAGTGCGTTTATATAAATCTCTAAGTGAAATTATCGTGTATAGTTTGACGTTGATGTTGTTTTGTTAAAAAAAAATTTTAATTATCACTCTATAAAAATATTTGAAGTAGAGGGTCAGTTTGTTTATTAAAGATGGTGATTGATTAGAATGAGTTCTTACACTCACGTCAGTTGGCAACGATGCACGTCAAGGTTTTCTCACATTAACCTGCTTTTCAGGCTTGTCTTTCCGGTGTGTTTGTGGCTTACTTACAGAGAGCCACTTCATGTTTATTCAAAGTAATTTGACTGGCTAATTTTATGCCAATATAAGCCTGCAGAAAAAACAAAAAAACTTTTGGATGACTTCTTATAAGCCAAATAAGTTAGGCTTTTTCCCAGTGTCACCACTGGTCAAGTTTGAATTTGGTCATGGTTCGATGATTTTTGGCAGAGTAATGCCCCTTTTACTTTGAAAAAAAGGGAAATTTTCAGTTTCCATTTATTATCTCCCCAACAGTTGTACACATTCAACTCAAATTTGACATATGGATATGAAAAAGGAATGTGCAGGTCAAGTTCGAATTTGGTCATGGTTCGATGATTTTTGGCAGAGTAATGCCCCTTTTACTTTGAAAAAAAGGGAAATTTTCAGTTTCCGTTTATTATCTCCCCAACAGTTGTACATGTTCAACTCAAATTTAAAATATGGACATGTCATAAGAATACACTGGTCAAGTTCGAATTTGGTCATGGTTTGATGATAGCTGACAGAGTGATCCCTCTTGAACTTTGAAAAAAAATCAGAAATTTTTAGTTTTCGTTCATTATCTTCCCAATGGTTGTACACATTCAACTCAAATTTGACATATAGATACATTTTAGGAATAAGTTCAAGTTTGAATTTGGCCATGGTTCAATGATTTTGAACAAAGTTATCTATCTTGAATGTTGGAAAAAATTTTAATTTTCAGTTTCAGCACTCATCCTTTTGTGGAAGTGTATGTTGTCATTATTTTGTCTACAAATATGCAATATGCAATTTACCAAAGGTTAATACTAAATAGTTTCAGTGCCTGGTTTGTGTTAACAGACAAGCTGCATGCTATACATTGGCTTCATTTGAGTACATTTTATAAATGAACAAGTTAAAATAAGTTATAAATGAACAAGTTGAAATAAGTTATAAATGAACAAGTTGAAATAAGAAATGACATTAATTTCCATGACAAAAATTGTTTTATTGAGAGAAAAAATTTAAAAAATGATAGAATATGCAAGAAAAAAATCTGACGTGTGTTTGCGGTTCAGATCAGAATCAATCAGACTCAAGCCTTGTTACTGCCAAATGGGTGGGATACCGTCAAAACGGGTATTCCGATTCGAACTGTAACATATGACAGATATCATTACTCGGGCAGCCGGGAAAATTTGAACCAAATTAAACGAGCTACTGGTTTAGTTGATATCATCCCCTTCTTTGGGAATAAAACAATAAAAAAAAGTTCTGCCTTTGTACAAACTATGGATTACTTTTAGAAGGAAAAGAAGTTAAAAAGTTAATTTCAAGTTATTTGTTGTCTGAATTTTTATGTTTGTTTCAGAAAGATTTTCCATGACAAAATAATTAAGTCTGTCCATGACAAAATTATTAAACAGACTTAAAGCTATATCTAATAAAAATTTGTTCAACGGTAAAATTATTTTTTGATTATTAATATTTTATATTCAGCTCTCGAAAGAGTTGTAACATAGAAAATGCCCCTGTTATTTTTACATGCATTACACAAAAGACGATGTTCCGGAACAAAATATCATCCTGCTATTGTTTTTTAAGTGATCCATTGGGCATTGATTTCATTCACATAGCATTCCCTTTTTATTAAATATATAAAGGATAGTTTTTGCTATAAATAAAGGATTTATTTTCATCAAGTTATTTAACAAATAAATATTTCAAGTGTTGCCGTAGCCATGAGATGAAAATATATTCTGTATTTTAGAAAAAACTTCCTGTTTATTACAAGGGATGATTCAGAATGAAATATATATAGTAAATGGGTGCAGGTAGTTATTTTGTACACGTGGTCGCATGGGTAAGTTAGACTGTACTTGATAATCAAGGGATGATTATTTTATGATAATTTGACCAATATTGGCATGGCAAAGTTAATGTGCCGCATGCCTGTGGTTGAACATGGGGAGATTTGTCTTCGCATCATTGATAAAGTTTCTGTGCTGATAGAAAATTCTAGTGATGTTTTCATTCAAGTTTTAATAATGGGTAGTGATATAAATTAATGTACTTCATGTATCTTCAGTTACAGTTCTTGCTTGCTGTTTTTGGAATAAAAATAGCATTTGGTATGTTTAAACTTGAATTAAACATGCCCTCTTCATAGAATCATGTCAAACACTTGTTTGATGTATGTCCAAATGAAACATCGTATTTCAGACCTGTTAAATTTTTTATGCCCCCACAAAGTGGGAGCATATAGCATTGCACTTGTCCATACTTCCGTCCGCACGTCTGTCTGTACGTCCCGAAATCTTGTGAACGCAACTCCTCTTTAACCGGATGGCAGATTTTGCAGGGATGAACAACCCTAATGTGTAGATGGTAGTAAAGGAAGGAATTTTCGCTGCGTTTTATTTTTCGTTTTAACCATTTATTTCTTTGCTTTAAAATATTTTTTTAAAGTCGAGCATTGCCCCCGTCAAACAGTGTCTCTTGTTTTTATATTGTGACGAATGTCTGGGGTGCTCCTGAATCTTTTAAAATGAATGGACTGGGCTTTATGGGATTTGCAAATAGTTTGAATTGTTAATTCATAATTTGAAATGTTTTGTGTTTTCTATTTCCAGTAAAGTTATACGACAGGACATTTAAAGAGTCTATAGCACAACCAATCAGGGAATTATCTCAACGATGGAAGTCCCAAAACCCAGAGGACAACCAGTCAACCGCCAGTGATCATATTTTGTATGGAAACGGACAAAATGATGCTCCACTCGATTTTGATGTTAACACACTAGATGACGATGATCTGTTACAACAGCTGGATGATTCTTTCAGAAATAAGTCAAATATTTCGACCAGTGCAAATGTTAGTGGAATTAATCAAGAAAGTGGGCTTGAGTCGGACATGCGTACAAGATCGATACATTTCCGCAAGTCTACCATCCAGCACATTTTGAATCCTGATTCCTACTTAGCTGTTTTACATAACAGACATGAAGGAAATCACTCTGACAAAAGAATGCCTGAAAATGATGAAATTCTGTCGGAATTGCTAAATGTGGAACTTTACGACGTATCGTCAACTCAATCGAAAAGATTGGAAAATTCCGGTAACAGGGTCGCAAATAGTGACAATTTTCAAAATGACAATTTTGCCATGCAAACTCGCCTGGAGAGGTATAGAGATGTGATTGAAAAGCTTAAAGAAGTTCAAAATAATATGAAGACTACAATTGATTATGAAACACCAAACTTTTGTCTATCATATGACTGGTTGTTGAAAATCTGCGGCCACTTTATAGAGTGTGAGATGGCAGAGCTACAGGAGACGATTATGAAGATGGAAATTATGTATTTCTCCGACTCTGATGATCCCTCTTTGACTCCTCTAGGCAAATATCATCGTAAATTGCTGAGGGATGTATACAAAGGTGCTGGCCACTTTGCTAAAAGGCTTACTGGACTTAAAAAATAAGAAAATATTTGTTGTTTTTTTTATATAAAAAAACACTAATATTTTCTTATTTTTTAAGTTAACTTGTTTAACTTGTACCACAACAAGTTATTGTAACCACTGATTTCTAAAGATGATGTAATAATTAGTACATTGTTATCATATTGTTACATTATTTTAAATGAAGTAAGTGAAAATCTGATGGTGTTGTTTACAAGAGAGATAATTGTTAAATGGATCACAGTTATTTCCCTTGAGAATACTTTAATTTTTTATGAAATGTATGCAAAATTCAATACAAGGGAGATAACTATATAAATATGCACAGCAGTGATAAGATGGAGTCACAGTAATTCCCCTTTTAAAATATGAACGATTTGTCACTGTTTGTCTATAGTTTACAACGCAAGGGAGACTACTATATAAAATCTGTGACAAAATCATGTTACAGTTATTTACCTTGAAATTATGTTTTCATTTGTCATAATCAAGATTGTATTAGCATAGTTTAAGATGCATGTATATATGTATATCAAAATATATGTAGAATTTATAGTCATTTCCTTTGAGAGTTGTCCTGATCCAGCAAGCTTACATCTAATATTAGTGGTCCTACTCGGGTGCCAGTTTGTTTATGCCTGAAAAAATGCATGGATGAGGAACCGGAGGTCTTCCTCCACCAGTAAAGTTTGAAAGTCTTCATGAAATTTACAATGTTGGTGCAACATAAATCTGACCAAAACTAAACATGCACCTGAGGATTATATGCATTGCTTTATCTATGATCCATTTATAAGCCTAACCATGCTATTTACCTATAAGTCCATGTCTTAATTCTAACTATGCTAACCATAACCTTGCTACATCATTTTTAGGGAAAATTTATATTGACTGAACAGTGCAGACTATGATCAGATGGCACCAAAAAGAAGATGTGTTCAATAATGATATATAACAGAAGATGTTTTTTTATCCTTCATATACAAGCAATTATAATTTTACCCATTATTAAATGTTATAAAAACAAAAAAGATATGTCTGTTTTGTTAATACTTGATATTTTACAACATACAACAGTTAAACAATTCCATGTATCAGTCATGAGTCACTTAACATTTGACTTAACAATAAGATTTTTTAAACGAAAAAATTAAACAAAAACAAAGATACATATTAATAACCTAACTACAACCAGTTGTTTCAAGACCACTAAGTCCACTGAATCCAGTAGAATTGAAATTTGAACTAGAATTAAAAGCGGCTCCGTATCTGTTAAACATATTGTCTATGATGGGTTCGGACCGACGTTCATATGGTGGATAAACATTTCTCTTTGAGTGGTAAGAATATTTCCACGGATTATGCTTTAGAAACGGTTCTTGGCTCACTGCCAAAACCTGTGTGTCTGTTTTGTGCTGGGGTGCTGCAGACGGTAACCAGGCTGTTGTTGTTGTTGACAATGGAATGGTTCCCTGCTCTGCTGGTTGAAGTGATTTAGGGAATCTACGACATCTCGGAGGTTCCTCTGTGTCTCTTCCCAGATACGATTTGTTGTATGTAGAGTTGTAGCTGTAATCGGTTACTTCGCGCCCCAAATGCTTTAAGAAATCTTTACCTGTACTATGAAGACGAAGATGGGGATCTATCAAGTTCCGGCCAAGATGGCGTGTGTTTTGACCCTGCAATGTAAAGTCGTCTTGAATGTAAGAACAAGCTTTACAAAGAAATGACAGATTACGGTATCACAACTCTAGAAGCAGTGTAACATTTTAGTACAACACAATTCTACTGCCATACTATAATAATAAGACTAAATATATAATGTCACAAAACAAGATGCAAAATACAATGTAGATCTAATAAAAATGTGAGCATGTTCAAATATATTATCTGAAGACAAATTTTATATCTATTACACAAAAATACAGTTGCAAAGCATTATTCTATTTTTTTTTAAATCACTCAATGCTGTTGACACTTAGAGTGATCAATCAATATAAAGTCTGATTGTTTTTTCTATTTTTTTAACTCTATTAACAATATTGGGTTCATAAAGATGAAATATTAAAGATAATTGTCTGCCAATGGTACCCAGACTGGTCGGACTGCACTGATGTACAGGCTGGCCAGGTAGCAAAAGCTTGTTACTTTCAGCTCCAACTTGGTAAGGGAAAATAAAAAGACAAATTGTACAAGATTGTATTAAAATAATCTATACGAAGGTTTTTAAAGCCATTGAATCTGTGCACTCACGCAATACAGAATTCGAACAATATGTTGGAAAATAATTGAAAATTTATTAATTTATTATATAAATTTAACTTCAACAATACTGTACAAAATACCATACAGTTTTTGACAGCTTTTATAAATATTGAAATATTTTATTCAAAGCAACTGAATATCTAAAGCTATTGAAGTGCCTCTTGTATTCAATATGATTATCGGGAAAATTTTGTATCTTTTGTAAAGCCTGCTAGCCAGAAATGATTAAGTTATTCCGGTTATGCATTCTACTGTTCACAATTGTTCATCCTACTTTAAAAAAAAAAGGTGAATTCATTTTCAAGTCAATTCCGTAACCAAAAAGAATTACACAAGGTTTTTTAAATCAATTTCTGTAATCCATTTCTCACATTTGATTTTTAAAGGCCCAGAATGCCAATGAATGTTTTTATTCTTATTTCTCAAAAGCTTTTTTTTTATTTTTGGTGTTGTGTTATTGTTTCTAAATATTTACTCATTGGCCAATTACCTTAACCATCTTTTGCTTCTGTTGCTTTTTGACAATTAGTGCAGTAATAGTGATTAAGTAGTTTGTATGCCTGTCAAAATACTATTTTTACATTTTACTTAACTTTTATGACAATCAATTTCACATTCAGTGCTACTTTCTTCAGTTGATAACAATCTTACATGCTATTAACCATTATTAAAACACTATAAATCACATATTTGACCTTTCTAAAGAATGAAAAAAAAAATGTTTCTGAGGCATAAATGTGTCTTTGAGTTTGATTTTTTTGGCTTGAGTGAGAAGCAAAGTTTGTTTTTTTGTTCTTTTTTTTGTGTATACATGTTTATCATGAACAAGACAGTTTGCTCCATGGAATTGCAACCAGTACTGGTACAAGGTTAGAAAAAGCACTTATTACCCCCTCCCCACTGAAGTAAGACACATACCCCACAAACCATGGGTTAACAGGCAGTCACTTTACCCACTTGGCCATGGCTCCACAACTTTTGTTCAAATAAAACCATTATTTAAGCCCTAAATTTTTCAGTGCAAAATATTTTCTTATTAAGGGAAAAACATGAATTACTTTCGTTACATTCTAAACTTAAAAAAGGGAAAGGTTCATGAGGTTAACCTGAAAAACTTTGATATTTTATACCATTTATTTAGACAAATAAAATGTACAAAATCTATTTAACACTAAACTTAATTATTTATTTTGTGATAAATTTCTTTTCAAACGTGTTAAATGGTTTGATATCCATTTGAAAAAGGTTTAAAGAAGTGTTTACCCATATATTTAGATGTTGGATTATCGGGCATAGATTTGTAAAGAGCACTTTATGTACATAAATAATCGGTAAGATAAAATAGGTCTTAAGTTATTCAATATTTAAGTGCATAGACTTTTAAAATTTATTTCAATACAGATATTGATTATCCAAGGTTGGTATAAAGTTACAAATAGATTTACAAGCATTTAAAAAGACAGGTAACACCATGTGTTACGTATGCTACCTTTGCTATTTCAAATATATCTATTTCATATATAGATTTTTTTTAAATGTTCAAAGATAAGTCTGTTATAAGTAAATGATACACTTTACTTAAATTTTTATCTCTTTCAATAGTTTCACTTTTTAAAAAAGAAAAAAATTTCTTAAAGAAGGAAACATGTCACACCTGTTCTAAAAGGCCACTTCTGATTTATGTGCCAAAAACTTCTATGAAAATGCAGTGTGTGTCAAAGATTACTTCTGAATAAAGACACTATGTCAAAGATTACTTCTGAGTTAAGACATTGTGCTGAAGACTACTTCTAAATAAAGACACTGTGTTAAAGACACCTTCTGAATAAAGACAACTGGCTGAAGATTGTACTTCTGAATAAAGGCATCCTTTAGAAAGCCTGTCTGTAGAGGCCAGCATTTTGTTTCCCCAAATGAATATGATTACACTTCAAAATAACCTTTTTTCTGTGAGAGTGCATGTCAGTTTCCTCAAACATGTCTTTAAACATTTGTCTGGAAACTGCTTTGTCTGGATGATTTATCAATTTATCAACTAACTTATTTCATTTAATCATTGACATAATTATCTTTACTCCAGTTGTGTAGATTTTCAACTTAGACATGATTGTTTTGACCATAGACATGATTTTACCCTCTTTATGGTGGCTTTGTAATCAATATGATGTTTAGTTTAAGATATGATTATTTTAAGCCAAGTTATGTCCATTTAGTTTTTACCTCAGTTTAATATGTCCATTTATAACCTAGAGGTTATTATTTTCACCTCTGAACTATTCTTAGATGATTTTTTAACCAATATGGAGTTTTTTACTCTAACTTGATGACTTGTACCAACACTGATTATTTTTAAGCTATAAATAAGTGCCTTTTGAATAAATCACTATTGTTAGTGTGTTTTCTGTGATAATACTTAACCTAGACATGATTTTTTGAAACCCTGACATGTTGGTTATGATTTTAACATATTAATGATTTAAAAAAAAGGCATAATTAAACCAGACATGGAAATTTTTTGTCTAGACTTGATGATTTATGTGTTTTATAAATCCAGGGAAGAGGATTATAACCTAGACATAATGATCAATGTCTTCTCAATCTAGGCAAGAGGATTATATCCTTGACATGATGATTTATGTGTTATAAATCCAGGCACCTAGACATGATGATTTATTTGTTTTATCAATCCAGCCTAGAGGATTATAACCTAGACATAATGATTAATGTGTTTATTAATCCAGGAAAGAGGATTTTAACCTAGGCATGATGATTTATGTGTTATAAATCCAGGCAAGAGAATTATAAGCTACACTTGATGATTTGTGTGTTTATAAATCCAGGCAAGAGGATTTTAACCTAGACATGATGATTTATGTGTTATAAATCCAGGCAAGAGAATTATAAGTTACACAGGATGATTTAAATCCAGACATGATGAATTTAACCCAGACATGATTTATTCAACACTGATATGATAATCTGTGCATAGAAATAATTCAACTTGTGTTCAGGATGATATCTAATACTATGGGATAACTACTGTCCAAAACCCATGATATTTTAGCGTATAATGTTACTCCAATATCTTTTCGTCTCCTCTCCTCTCCCAACACTGAATATACTTTAATGTATGACTATAATTTCAGTGCGTTGCAGTTATTTGGTATGACTATTTTTTCTAAATGGTAAACGTTAAGTGCAATGCCTTCTGTCCAGGAAAACCAAAAACTTTGTATGGGATTCTTACCAAATCATACCCTGAGCGGTACATCCAGGATGGACGTATACACGAACTTGTGTAATCCTAAACAATATAGTTACTGACACTTTTAAGATGGTCTTAATTAAAATTAAGGTGTTTTTTTATGTGTGTTTAGAAATAGCAACCACAGACCCACGGAGCAGGTTTCCTTGTGGGCAGATTTTTTACAAAAACACCAGTCCAATTTTCTTACAATTTTCGCAAAGCTTTTACATATATCTATCTTTGTCACAGAATAGTATGCACGGACATGTATTTAGTCATTTTAGATATCAGTAATCTTATCATAAATAATGTGCAAGAAACTCCTGACAGAAAATTAATATAGTTTTATTACCCACAAACATTTTTTTTTACTAAAAAAAACAAAACAACATTTTGCAAATATAACTTACATCGCCAAAATAAACTCCATGATTCTGGAATGCGTTCCGGTTGTCATGTTCAGAAAATTTGTTGGAAACTCTGTAATTTATCTGCAAATACAAAAATTAATGAATACTCATTAATAATAGGCCTAATACAGAACTGAAAAGAATAGTTTTTTTTTATTTTCTATAACTTGATCGACCGTATAAATTTACTTGAAATTTAGCAAAACAAGGAACATGCTCTCCCAATTTAAAAGTTTCACTTTCAAGAACGAAAATTCGTGAAACACATGGCACGTTTTACAGAAAAAAAGTTCAATATAAAAAAGGTATTACCGGGCGCTTGCCAGAATTTGGCCTATCGTTCCAAAAATAAGACATTTTGTATCATCCAAAAGCTGTGAAATTGTAATTTACAGCAACATAAACTTCCCTTTTTACGGTAACACAAACGCACAAATATCGTCCCACTATTAATTATGCTAAACTTCAATATGAATTTATTTCACAGATTTCTCATTAATAATTTCACTTCAAAATACGCTTCTCAAAAAAAAAGATATAACTATATTCATGGGCTATATTGCGTTTAAAGAAGATCACCAATGTGTGTTTGAACGAGCGAACTCTCGTGGAATCCCTGGTTACTGGGCACTATGTGAGATTATCATCAGGCCAACCTGTCGGATATTACATTTTATTGTCGCACATTGGTAGCTTTGTTATCCTTTATACAAGCACTTAAAAACTTATCTCGGATCTTTCACATTGAAGATCGTCAAACTATTGATACACAACAAGGGGTAGATATTTCATAAGTAGACAACCGTGGAGTAACAAATGATTTCAAACGAAAAGATACGTTGACACTGATAAAGTTAAAGCACAAAGCGATAAGATAAATTGATCACCGGAAGTTGGTGAAATATTATTTAAAAAAAAACTCTTTCTGGAATCATTTTGCCGGAAATTCAGCTGAAGATGTACTAGATTGATTAACATTAGAGATTGCTGCTTGTAGTCGGCTTTAACATGTTGCCGCCGTTACGTTGGCGCGTGCAGAATAACGCTACGTCTTGTGTACCCAGTTTGTGTACCCAGTCTTGTGTAAATATTTCATTTTCTTTCTCTACATATATTTTAAAAAAAGAAAACAACGATAAAATCTACATGTTCACGAATCTATGGAATCACACTTGGGTTTAGTCCTAAAAATATGACGTTGCTTTGAGACTGTTTTACTTCTTGGCAAAGAAAACTATAACAAGCCCGTATGGTAACGTCCAAATATACTGGACTAACTTGTGTTTAAAACTCCCGGTCCATCTGATATGCTAGTCGGATATTTTCGAATTATGTTCTGAGACAAATTTGACTAATCTTCCGACTGTACTGTATTTCGAGTATAAAGTTTAATTGATATCTCTTAAAAGCGACTCCACTGAGGTTTTTTTTTAACTGACTGGACTGGAAAATATTGTTTTTATATTAATGTTCCATTTGATGGAGATTTAAACCTATAATTTGTGTGCAAAATTTCAGATCATTCGCTCACTCCGTTTTTCCAGAATAATTACATTGTATTCTTATTGCAAAAAATAAGTCAAACTTAAAAAGTGCTTTTCCTTTAATTAAGCACAAAAATACGATTTTCAATTTATTTCTAAGAATATTTCTTACTTATCTTTTGACATCTTTCTGTTTTATGTGCCCCTGCTGATTTATGTAAGAAATTCAAATTTCATGTTTTGTGACATTTAGAAGTCAGTTGAGTTCCTTTAATAAGTTTTCTCTTTATATGTATACAATGATAACTGACAAAATGTCAGACCGAGATTCAAACACACAACGTAAACGTTTAGCGCTAGCGCTAAATTAAACAGTCGTTTTCAGTCATTATAAATTTCGCTGTGCACCTTGTTTAGCTGACATTTGTTTGGTTAGGAAAAATCGATTACGGATTATGAGGGATTTTCGTTTTTAATTTAATATAAATGTTTATTCTTATCGCTTTAACCGAAAGCCAGTTTATCGTTGTTTAAATATTTAAACGCATTGAAAAAATATAAAATTTCTTACATGCGCCTTCTGGCAAAAACTATGCCTATATTTCAAAACTACTGCATGTATATATTCTTTCATGCCTAATGGTTTTGTTTGCGAACTGTCTCTATTTGAAAGAACGGTAAATGGGGCGATTGATTTATGATCGACTTTTTTGTTGCAAATGAGTTTTAATTTTGCAACATAGCGTTCATTTTGTATGCCTTATAAGTTTGTAATCTGTTTAAAGCTGCATGCCTCCAGATGAGCCAAAATATTCAATAAAATAAAACCTGAGAAAAATGTCCTAAGATTTAAAAAAAGTAAAATGATTCAAGATTACGTAATAATTTACATGTAATGAGAGATAAATGAGTATTTATAACATGAGTGCTGCATGTTTGTACTGTGTAAATTGCTTCCTTTGGGTTACTTCTCAATATTTTACTTTAAAATATATTTTCATAATGTTTTCATGAAAATAAGCATGCATCTGGAGGCGTGCTGCTTTAAGTGGAAGCAGAAGAATCGAATTTCCTTTCTAAATATTTGTCTATTTGCAAATATAAAGCTCTCAGCGGGAAACAATTTGTTTTTTTAGCTTTTGCCATGGTGTCAATTCTATGCTAGAAATTTTGAGTTTTGACTGTCTACACAAAATATTTCTTTAAAAGCCTGGGTACTTATAAACAAGCTGTCAGTTTCGTTACGTTTCGTTTTTACGTCTTGGTGCGTTGTCTACGTATGGTAATTATTGGTATTTCACGTCAGCTAAATAAGTCATAAGCACTCGATAATTTAGTCATTAACAAAGAACTAATTGAGAGATTAAAATGCGCGTTGATTATTTGAATGTCGCGCCTAGAGTCTTTGAAGAAGTGACTAGTGTTTGTTGCTGACGCGAATTCACCTTGTTTAAACTAATGTAGCATAATTTAACTTACATCTGATTTTGATTGAAAATTTGGTGGCGGTCCCATAGGATAGTGTGCAGACGATGACCTGAACGGTGCTGACAACATTGAACCTGTGCTTGTGGCGTCCTGTCGCTGAACGTGGCTAGCTGAATGTGCACCTCTGTGTTGGAACTGAAAAGGTAAAGAGCACCCTCCTTAGCTGTAGTGTTGCAGTAATTAAAAGGCTCTTTATTGAGCTTGTCAATGAGATATAAACAATCTCACTCACTGTATATCATATGCTGTGATTGATATAGCTACCAGCCAAATAATTAATTCACTGTTTTAGTAAACGTTCTTTACTATCATTGTCCGTAAAATTGTATTAGTTGAGCATTACTGAGCAGTATTGAGACTTTCGGCAGTACCCCACACATCCGATATTAATTAACTAAATAGTATGTTGAATATAAATACTTGTATATGATTTTAACTGCACTGTGTTTATTTGAACCGCTGTGAGTCAAATTGGTTATGATATTTGTTTCAGGACTTTCATTGGTCAGTGTACATTTTGTTTCGGTTTCCTGACCATTCAAATACCTGAGATCTGACTGAGCTTGAACAATTTCTTAATAACCTTGGACCTCATGGATCTGGTGTTGAGGCAACTCAAACATGATCGTGACACGGGTAAGGCTCGAACTCGAGATCCCTGGGTTGAGAGGCAGACACAATAACTTCCAGGCTAAAGATTTTTCTTAAAATCTTGACTGCCACGTGACTACAATCAAAAGATTACAGTGATCGAATATATAATCGAAGAAATACTGTTTCCTGCAGGAAAGGCTGTGAGGAAATTTTCACTTGGTATCACTCGAGCATCGGATCACTTGTTAATAAGTTTTCAAAGGATAAAGGTACAATGGCAGCTAATTGATTTACTACGTATCGAAGTAGAAGTGAACCTAAGTTAAGCCGAGCATTAGTTTAATGAATTTGGCAAATTTCAATGTTCAAACATTTTCCGAAACAAAATCAACAGAGATCGATCTAATGTAAACACATTGGTAACAAAACCCTCGACTTTTTGTGATTTACTATACATTTTGTATTTGATAGGTATATAAAACAAACACTTGATGTGATATTGATACACTCAAAGACAAAGGAACGAAATCCCTAACCGTTGAAATAGGTTTCAAGAGATGGAATATACTGAGGAAAACCCAACTGAAAGGAGGCCTAGGTTCGAACATGGAACCGTTAAGACCAATCATTCTTGACAGCTATATTTGTTTTTTTTTATAATACTGAACGTTTGTAACGTCGTTTTTCATTGGATATTCGTGACGTTTATATTCGGCTATTTGCAATATAACCCTCGCCTAGCGGCTCGGGTTATATTTACAAATAGCCGATTATATAGGGCCATATAACCTGTCAACGATCTTTATAACTAATAATATACACGGCTGTTGTCGATTCATGAACAAATCTTAATTTTTTTCTCTAAAAAATGATGTTTGCTGTATTATAAATTCGTTATAAAGATTGTTGACAGGTTATATGGCCGTATATAAACGGCTGTTTGCAATATAACCCTCGCCTAGCGGCTCGGGTTATATTTACAAATAGCCGTTTATATAGGGCCATATAACCTGTCAACGATCTTTATAACTATAAAAATATATAAGGTCCTTTGAAAATTCTATCATTCTAAGGGAGTTAAGTGTGAATAGGATTTTGTTTTCATTACTTTCAAGGGGTCGTTCTTTTTCAAAATAATATCCGTGATTTTTTTACCGATCCTATAGTATTGGCATTTTTCCGCCAATCATGCAAGTGAATTCAATACTTTTTTCGCGTTGCCACTGACAGGTCCAAAAATAGCATTTTATATGACTCAATTCGAGATTTAGTCCACATTTTAAAACAAAAACTATCTTGAAAAAAAATAATTCGGTCAGTTCAAAAATACACACTTGTTATAAAGTTTGGTCAGTTTTCTTAAGAAGAAAAAAAAACGCTTTCACAATTATAACAGTTTGTGTCCATATATTTCACAAAAAGAAGAAAATGTACATGTCTTTATTGAGGGAAAAATCTTAAAGTTTTATTTTAACTATCGTCTCCTTTTACAAATTGTAGGGGTAAATGTCACTTTGATAGGCTTTATAATAAAGCCGCTATTGTTGTATAAAGCAGTAGGATTATTAATTATGTATCTTATGAAAGGTAATTTGGCAGATAAGTAGAAGATTTGACATTTTCAAAATGGTTGTGTAACTTAAACTGGAATGTTTTATTATTGTTAGACGATTATAAAATAAATTCAACAAAGATATGTGAATCTTTATCCTGTACATTTTGTGTAATGGTTTTGACCTGCCTTGAACCGTTAGCATTTTAATTGATTTCAATAACAAAATACTGAAATTAAAAAATATATATATATAAATAGATAGGCTGACCATTCTAATGGTTTGCTTTATACTTAAGTGGCAAAGTCAATGTCTAATAAATAGTCACTATGGTTAGATCTATACCTAGGTAAATTCATATACATGTAGTTTTTTTGTTGTTTTCCCTTTTCTTATCTATTGCGGGACAAAGTTTGCTGTAAATTGCTCTTATATTAATAGATAAATTCATTTATTTATTAAATATTCCTTGTAAAACGCAAACATGAATAAATTGATCCCAATATTTTATACATAAATAGCTTTATAAAAAGAAAAGTTGATTTAAAAGATGAAAAGATTTGTTATAACTTATTTGTAGATCTATAAATTGTATTAACAAGAAATGAAACTAAAAAACTAAACAATACTAACCCAAGTGCCGACTTCCGTCGCCGGCGGTACGTGTCTGCGACCCCGTGCCATTATTCCTTTTTTCTGCTTTTATTCACGAAGTTTTATTCCTGTTTACTAACTTGTTTTCTTTCCACTCTTCAACTTATGACTGTTTTCTTGTCAAGTTGTTAATCCCTGTGTATTGCAGATTATAATAAGCATGTCAGATTTACGACCGAGTCTCTATCAAAAGTTATTGGAACGAAATTATAAAGCGATCCATAAAAGAACTACAGATTATTTCATTGGATATAGAGACCGATTTACAACACGTCAAATTGGCGCGAAAAATAAACCCTTAGCAACGACGTTTGAAAGTGTACGTTTGCGCGCCTTTATTTTTGGTACATGTTTGGTTGACTGTATAGTCGAAGATTGTTTGAATTACAAAATGTTATTCTATATATAATTTTCAATTGTTTAAATTACATGTAATTCTATAGCAGTAAATACTTAAACTGAGAGGCACTGTATAATAATAGCTCTAATATTAATTAGCTATAATAATAATAATGATGATGATAATAATAATAATAGATCTAATAATAATAATAATAATAACTCTTTTTTCAAGAAAGTAACGTAGAATCTATATGAGTGTACAGAGTTAAGAAAAACTAAATTCGTCTTATTTCCGAGGAAATACTATGTATTATACAGACAGCTTCATTGTCAGTTGACGCTCGCCACCACACTGCTCGGCTACTGTTTGGCATGCCTTATTTTGTATATTCTTCATTTATTATATGCCTATCTTTGTGTTTTCAAATGATAAAGCTAAAATTTATGCAACGCCAACGAGGTTGACATTTATCCAAAACTGGCTAATAGCGAGCGTTGGAATCTCCGTTATCAATGCTCCAAAGCGTGAATAAGCTTCTGAAGCGACTCTGGCTGCCAAGGTCTTTCATATAGTGACTGCAATATATGGCTCTAAGCGTCATGACCGCAAGGTTCTGCACGTATCAGTTTTCTTTTCACTTTTTTTTTAAATCCCAAAGGAGAGGGAACACACTCGAATACATGAGGAAAGGCCGAGTGTGATGCACAGGCTATCCGTGCACAAGACGTTCGTGTCTTTTTATTGAGACAATACTTACACGTTCATTTTGAGCAGCAGGCGCGTTTTCAGGGATCTCTTAATAAAAGGTTTCATGTAGGTTTGTATGCAAATTTACAACAGAAAAAAAAAGAGAATTAAACTTGTAGAAGAATATCAGTTAAAAGATATAGAATTTATAGAAATAGTCAATCCTTAAGCCAAAGATGTTTTAGCTGACGGTTAAGGGGAGACTAATCCACTGACGTATGCTACTATATGGGGAAAGGAATTTAGGTGGTATTGCGTCCATGAATAAATAGGTGAGTAGTTCAGATTTCTTGTATTGCAGCATTGATGTTCCGCTGCTGTTCGCAAGTGTTAGTCAGATATCATTTTGGACATCGATGTTAATAAATGTAGCTACATGTACTACCTTCTAAATTAAACATTTTGCCATGGATGCAAAATTAAGCAGTACTCGAATTTGGCTCTTATGCAGCTTCTTTGCTTTTACATTTTGTCGTGTTATCTTGTTGATACGCTTGGTCCATGAAAGGCCTCGACTTAAGGCCCACCCCTAGATATTTTGCTTCCTTGGTTGAATTTTAACTGAATATTATGAAGCCAGAAGGATGTAAGGAAATATTTCCGGGTTTCATTTTCTAGGTATTCTATGGACTCACATTTATCTCTTATAAAGAATTCTGTCTAGTGTCATTTTGATTATGCTTCAACTTTGTGGTTCTATAAGCATCGTAACCTCTCTCGTAATCAAACTTATAAGATTAGTATATCTTGTGGCTGAAGGTTTGCATTTACGGGTTGAGGTATAAGAATTGGAGCCACCTTATATCCATGCGTGATTCGTAAGGGGGACTAAATGGGTAAGAATTACTGGAGTCGATATATCTCTTAGCTCCAGCAGGTGAGGTGATTTTGACCCCTTGTGTTGCTTTAAAGTTTACAACACCAGAGGTTAGCCAAAATTCTCTTTCCTCTTTCAGTGCCATGACCTTGTCTCTGTGTGCTGTAAAACCAAACAAGTAGTTTGTTTTGATCTTATAACAGTTCATATTAGTAAAGTCCAATTTTATTTTGTCAACTGGTTGAACATTAAGTGAACTTCTTTTGCTAAAACATCAAAATGAAACAAGAAAACAAAACAAACTGTTCACTTTGTACAAATGTTTATTGAATTATTCCAACATCATAATCTGCACATGATATGATGATTACCTATACATTGGTCTGGTACCAAGATTCATTACTACAACCTACACAAACAGAATAACCATTCTAGTGAACCAGTCTACTGACAGATAACCAGTCTGTATCAATTTTACAGGAAGATGACCAGTCAAGATTTATAAAGCATATTAATAAGTACTGTGTGTCATCAATAACATTCAATTCTTGACATCAGTACAACAAATTTACTGGATTAACATGAAAGTACTTCAAATGGCAATTTTTTTACTTAAACAAAACTTGGCTTACCAATCAAATTTCAGATCCTGTAAACTTGCTTCAAATATAAAACGAATTACAAGCAAAATCTGTCCATTTGTAGAAATAGTTAACTATTTCTGTAGGTTGTAAAAGCAATGAAATTCTTAACTTAATGTGACAGAACATTTATGACCATTTACACACACAAAGAAATTTACATTTATATCATCTGCCTAACGGTGCTGTACATGTGTTACAAAAACATTAGCAAAACATTTAAATGATTCTTTTATCTATTGATCTCTCTACAAAACAAAAATCAATTTAATCATGATTTATCCGAAAATTTCACTTTACCCTTTAAGAACAAAAAAAACTTTACTAAGTATAATAAGATTGTTTTTTCTTAATAGCAACCAGTGATTTTTTTACCATACATAACAGACACTTATATATGGCTTCTTCCCTAACTGAAATTTTCTTTAAAATCATGCAGAAGTCTGATTGAACTTACACCAGCTTTTTTACTTCCAAACTTAGTAATTTTAGTGATAATTTTTCCTAAAATCACCAATTGCATGAGACTGGTATGAAAATGAAACGAAAAAACACACAAGTAAAATTTTTTTATAGAATTTTCAACATTTATCTTGTCTTATGGTTTTGCTAATGTTTTTACAACACCTGTTTGCTGCCTCGTATATACATGAAATGATAGCACCGCTAATACATATACACTCAACTTCATATAATACATATACACCATGAATGATTCAATGCAAAAATAAGAAACAGATTCGCCTTTTCACAGGGCTGTGTAGTTAAAGCAGTAACTGTTTACAAAAATAGCCTTGTACAAAACAAAAAATAGGGACTTCAAAATACAAAATTGTACATCTTTTTTCCTATTTCCATCTGTTTATGGTTTTAAAATTCATCCAAATTATGCCCGTAGGTTACATATTCAAAGAAAAAAAGGGCTTAAAATGTCATTTTACAATTTTAACTTCCAACTTATTTAAATAAGCTTTTCACAGTTTGCATTTACAACCTTGGTCCGCGGTTATAAAGAAATTCTCTGAGCTCAAACTCTTATCTTAGGCATTTGATTGGTCAGAATATGACATAAGATGTATGTTGACCAATGAAATACCTGAGATTCAAGACAAGAGATAAGTTAAATTTTTTATAACCTTGAGGCCTTGTATCATTAGTGTATTCAAGTTGGTGATGAAAATAATTCATGTACATGTATAAAACTTCCGCAAGACCTTTATCATTCACCTTCATTACACCAGCTAATACAAAGTCATCGTCGTCAAACAGTAAAATAGCCAGCTTTTTTCCAGATACCCTCCTCCCTCACTGTCCTAACATACTTGCAGCCAATTATAAACTTCATTTATACCAAGTTTGTAGAGCAAAATACTTAATACAAAAATTTTATCGTCGTTTTTTTTGTATTTAAAAAATGAAATGTTTACGACAACATCAGTAAACATTGTCTATGCATAATAGTACCTCGTAACACCAGTTTACATAATATTATCTACATCTACAGGGGGGCGAGGGGGGGAAGTTCAGATCAATTTGAAATATAACAATGCCATCAAAATACAAATTTTTACAATATTTGAAACAGTACACATTAAAAGGAAAGAAAGAAAAACAAAATTCACGTCCAAATTTATAACCCAATAGTGCTAACCATTGGTAACAGACCTATGCTACCACATAGTTGAAGAGTGCCTAGTACCCTTTTTTTATCGGAAGAAAAAAAAATCCTAAGAATATTAAAAATTTACCCAAAGTTTTATTGGAAAATGAAAGAATAAAACTAATGTTGATAAGATTGCACACTTTATACAGTTCCTGTATTAGCCAATTCAAACCATTCAAGTTTTTGTTACAATGTTTTATTGTATGTCTCATGTATATTACGTTCCCATGGCAATATAGCTTCAGAATTCAAATGTCATCAATTATAATACAAAATATGTTACAAAAACAAACAATTCATGAAGCACTTTAGAAATAAACTTCATAATCTGTACATAATGCGTATGATGATAGATGATGTGGCCGTGAAAAAAAATCCAACTTGATGCGTGTGACCGGGGGAAAAAAAATGGAAATAAACATATGCAAAAAATTGTTTCATAACATAACTGACAAACATTTTGATTTCTTGAACATATTTTAACATTAATCATTTTTTCCAACATATAGTGCATGAAATAAATGATAAAAAAAAACAACAAATGATATTAAACCATCAAAAAAGCTGTTTTCCACACTTTGGCATCACAGTATTTGACTTTGAAGAAATTATTTTTGTGTTCCCTTTTTCCATTTCACATTAGAGTAAATTAGATAAAGAAAAAAAAGATAAAAACAAGTAAATTTAACATTTTGCAAAGAATAATGCATGGAACAAAATTTTACATTTTTCATAAAAGTAATCAACTTTAGAAATTCTGGCACTGGAAAGGACATGCAAAAACTTTTCAATTTTCATGGTGAAAGAAGTCAGTGGCCATCTTAAACATAAATTTATACACACAATGGCACTTTCATACTATCACCAACCTGCCATTGGTCTGGTGCTTCTCCAAATTAGTATAAATTAATCGTTTAAAAAACCCTCTAAAAGAAATGAAATTATAACACATTTCTTTCCTCGTTGTCAAATGATGGTAAACCAAAGATATATGATGAATTTATAAGACGTATGTATTAAAACAAGAGCACTGCATGCGGTGTTAACGCTCGTCTGTTAAAGTAACCACTTTTGACACAAAACTATACAAGGGGTATAACTACAAAAATATAGCTTTCAGAATTATGCCCCTTGTCTAACTACTGAACCTTGTCAAGATACACAAATATTCCAAGTTTCATGCTGATAACTTTTAAAATGTTTGAATATAAATGGAGCTACTTTTACAGGACGACGACAACAACAGCATTCCCAACAGCTCGACTTTTTCTTCGAAACAGGCGAGCTTATGAATGAGATCTCAACAAGTTAGCACTATTAAATGTGTACTGAAGAACAATCTAACAGAATGAAAACATAGAATTATGCTGTAGTAATATTGAAAGGGTAAACATTTTAACAATTTACTTATTTGCATTTTTTATTACCTATTTGAATTCTTTTCAATATGTTTTCAAGTCAATGTCTTCATTTATAAACAGCCACATAACTTCTATAACCCATTTTAATAATTTCCATTCATGATCAAACTTATTTTAGAACATATGCATAAAAATTTACATGTTTTCACACTCCGTAATTACTAATCACTTAACTTTCAAAAATTATTTTAGCAAAGCATCATTACAAGAACGGCATAATAGACATAAAAGAACAGTTTCCAAACTTCCACATAATAAACTAAGTTTATTAACTTGCAAGTAAAATAAAATTGCATGTAAACAGACAATAGTTTCCTTACTTGTATGTTATAAAGTAAGTTCATGAACTTAGATGTGAACCATAGTTTCCAAACTGACATGAAACAAACAAAGTTTTAACAACTTAGATGCTATACAAAACACAGTTTCCTAAGTAGCATGTAATAATCATTTTATATAAAGTTGCATGTAACAAACTCAACAATTTTTTAACTTGCATGTAATAAAGATCATGAATTTTCTTTTATTAAAAAAGACATTTTCTTACTTCCATGTGCAGAACTTTCATAAACTAACATATATATTTAATCATTTTCGTTATTTCTCATTGTGTAAAAGATATGTAATCAGTGTCGAACAAACATATTTAACATGCCTGTGAAATAAATTGTGACTAAAAATCTGAAGCTAGATGAATATGACAGAAAAAAAAAATTCAGATTCTACAAAAAAAAAGAAGATTTAATACTCATTACAACGGTTTATTATCACTGCCTAGTTAAGGGAGGAAATAAGAAAACAATACAACAAAAAAATTTGCAAGAATTAATAATGCTGACACAAAGAATGCAAATTTATGGACATTTAGTTCAGCTGGTCCCCACGACAAATTCAAACTACTCATTGTAAATCAAAGACAATAACCGGAAACCAGAAGAAGAAAAAAAGATATTGTTGACACAAATCTGATGTACTTCATAAGTCTCCATGTAAATTTGGCAGAGGGAACTCGAATGAAAGGGAAAAAAATGAAAAAAGTAAAAAAAAAATTTAATAAAAATTTAACAGACCAAGCCTGTGATATAATAATAACAGCAGCTTCATTTGTTGATAAAATATGTAATACAAAAGTCTTTTCGAGGTAGGCCCTTGAATGAATTTTTGTTTGTGTTACGATAAATTTCACATTCATTCATTGTAAATAGATATACGAGCCCGCCCTACATGTATTAAGTTAAAATCGGAAATTATTGAAGATCTGCGTCCCTTCTCAGAAAATCTAAGAATATCTGGGGCATGTAACAAAAACATCAAAAATTGACACATTCAATTTGAGAGTAAATATTTTGACGCATTTTTTAAAATCTTAATTTTTTTTATATCAGCAAGAAAAAAGTTGTTGCAATACATTCATGCCATCAGCTGCTTAAAGAACGTAACTGTCGAACATCTTCTGTCATGGTCTACGGAACTTATCGGCAAATGTCTTCTTATAAAACTGTGGTGCAAACTATGTAGAAATTAATCTCTCATAAAACAAATTTACTTTTGGTACTGTATTTAGCTCAATTAATTGTCTACTTTCTGTAGTAATTAATGTTGTCCCCATATAAATCTTCTCATCATATCAAGTAAGGACGTACAGAAAGTTTGATTATAAATGGCCAACTAATAACTAACTTCAATGATTTACACATACACAAATGTCCACGGAATACTTTCACAAGTGTTTATTTAAGTACAAGACAAAATGGCGAGGTCCCCCCGCAACTTCCCGCCATTGTTTTCAGCTGAATATATCCTTCGCATCACCAACTGCTCTGCACTAAATTTCACATGGCATCTCGTCTCTCAAAACAATAGTCACATAATCTGGTACACAAAGTTTATATCTAATAAAACTTTGACCCAAACAATTTGTCTATACTTTGCAAAAAAAAAATTTAAAAAAAATCCTGTTACAAAAATGAGGATGAAAAAAAACTATGCTTTTGTGTGAATGATATTTTCACTATGAAGATGTCTAAGGGGAGAGAAAATGGCATACTGTATTAATGAACATCTGAACTTTCTGGCTTTGACAGGTGGTTCCCCGATTCTGGGAGCGTAGAATGAGGCGTTGAATGAGGAGTACTGTGTGAGACGGGTGGGTGTGCATCCATTGTTGTTGAGTGAACTCCGAGGCTGGCTGCTGCTGCAGCAGCGGCAGGATTCGGGAATGGGTAGCCACCTCCACCATTCATACTCTCTGGGTATCCCGGAAAGGCATATCGCATACTGCTAGCAGCTACAATTATAACAAACAAATTACATTGGTAAGATAATTTTTATGCAAAGGTTTCATCAAATAGTTGATTACAATCTTAATATGTTGAGTGCAAAAACAACAGGTATTTAACATACAGTAAAATATATATTTTTGTTAAGGGAGGTCTTTTGTCCGCCTTGTCATTTTTGGACGGGATGGCTTTTGTCTGTTTCCCAAATAAACTAGTTCTAATAGGCAGTTCAACTAATTACTATCTTGATTTTTCTACAAGAGAATGATGGACATTTTTTGAACTAGAAAAATAATGCAGTACCCATTACCAATTCAACAATCAATTAATATTCAAAAACTTTAATTATAAGTGACTCTATCAATCTGTGTCTAAAATTTATCTCAGTTCTCCAATGAAAGATAAACACTATACTTTAGAATATCTGTACAGAGAATTCTGTATGCAATACTTTCACTAACATATTAAAAAGTCTTAAGTTCTGGAGCATGAGCAAATTATAGACCATATAGTCCTGTTTATCATGTTTTTCCATTTCTTTTTCTGCTCATTTTAAGTCATATTTCGCCTATCAATCCACCATACTAAAGATTACTAGGAAATTTTTCCAGCTTTATTTCACGCATCAGCCAACACTTAAGTAGAACCACTGAGATTCCATAAGCTAGCTGGATAGCTCCCGCATATGAAAGAATCCAAAGTGTCTGAATTTATGAAAACTGTGTTGAAATTGCAAGCATGACAATAAGCTAAATGAATCAGAAATATCAGCGACACTTAGATATTGTAAAAAGACATCACACATATAATTTATATCAGACGCCAGTGATACACAGAATCACAAATCAGTTACGTCACATTTTTTTATAAGTGACATTGTATGATAAGATATCTAATATACTTATCTAGTTATATCACCTTATCAAGAAATGATATCTAAATAACGATTTATACCTGATTTATTGGTGGTAAAATATTCTTTATTGACACAGTTTCGTAAACTGTCTGGAATACGACCAACAACGGCCCGTCGTATCTCTCCAGCAGCCATTTCTCGTAATTCGGTCAAACTTTGCTCACTGTAGAATGAGGAATGAGGTGTGCAGATCAAGTTAGGACTGTCCTTTAAAGGACCTGAAAAAAAAACAAACACCCAAACTATCAGCTTATTGACATATTAAAATCAAAATAAACAGTGTATCTAACCCTGTAATTTATACCATGGAAGGGAATTCAAATGGGTTCTATAATTAAAACAAATCTATTATCAATGTGGTGAAAAATAGCTATTTTTAAATTAATCCAGGACTCAGTGATTTTTTTTCCTGTATTTTACAGCTTCCCCTAGCTCAAAATAGGTATATTTTCCCCTAAAAAAGCTAGTATTTTCCCCTGAAATGCCCTGTGCACTTCTTCACCAGAACAATGACTTAACAGCATCTGACTTAATATATCAGCTAGAAGACAGAAAGCTGTCCCTATAGCCTCTGCTATGTACCATGTATGTTAAATTGAATTGAAATTGAAAACTTTATAAAATTTGTGGGCAAGTTCCATTCTCAGTTGTTGGAATTCCATTTTCCTCTTTTCTGATTTATCGCACTTTATTTTCCCCTTTAGAAAGCCACAGGTTGTCTTGAAAATTGGAAAAAAATCACTGCAGGTCCTTTTTCAGGATTTTTTGGTCTAGTTAAATGTTAGCTAATTGGTGTTGCTCAATATATTTGTTTTTCTATCTACACAGTAGAATAGAAAATTTTAGTTATAAATGTGCAAATCTAGTTGTTAATCTACTCTAAATTTCGGCAATATAATATTATCATCTTCACATTAACTTGGTGAGTCTTACTTTGTGATATAACAAATGGTTCATTCTCGTGTACATCAAGGGCTGCTGCCCGTACTCTGCCATCCTTTAATGCTGAGGCTAGGGCATGTTCATCTACAAGACCTCCACGTGCTGTGTTCACAAGAAACGCTCCTGTAATGTTACAAGTATACTACTGTTTTAAAATAAATATTTACGAAAATTGTCCATGACTAAAATACTCGCAATAAAGAAACACCTTTAACCAAATGCAATTGCACTGTTCCTGTTATTTCCGAGTATCAAAGCATTTGTTAAGGTATAAACAGTCACAAATCATCACATTAGTGAAATTACTGGTTAACTCCAAATAAATTTAAAAGGACTTAATCTGTTACTGCACTAAGGTGACAAAATATTCAAGATTTACCAAAACTGCAATTCCAAAAGATTGTTGCAAAAGATGCTGTATCATAATTAAACAAAGCATCACCATTTCTGTCTCCTAATAAGTCTTGTAAATGAAATACAACTAATGCTTTTTTTTTTCCTAAGTAAACTTTTTACTGTCAAGCAACAAATACATATTCATGCCATAACAATTTTGTTTCCAGCTATAACTGTAGACCTTGTACCTGATATAAAGAAGGACTTCTCTTCACAATTATTATTATTCATATTATTTGTACATAATCTATATAGATGAAGTATTTTTGCTTCTTTTTCCTTGTTGGTAATTGATATAATGATATTGAATTAGAATTTAGTCAAAATACTACTTTGTTTACATTTTGCTTTCTTTACAACACATTACTACACATTCAGCACTACTTTCTCCAGCTGTTTAACATGCTCTTAATCCATTATTAAAACATTATTAAACACATGTTTGACATTTCTAAAGAATCTAATAAATGTAGATTTCTAAGGCATAATGTGCCTTTAATGCCAGTAGAACCACCAACTTCGAGTAAGTTATATGGATACCTTGCAGACATTAAAGAATTAAAAGTCCTTCACCCCTGATTCAAAAACAAACACATGTGATAGACATATGATTCAAAGCCAGCCACGGTAACAACTTGACCTATGAGGCCACCGCTACCACAGAAATGGTACCTTCACTCGCCAAGTCCTCATCAGAAAGTGAAACAATGACCGCTACCAATTTAGCCACGAAGGTCACTCACTATAAACAGTTCCCTTAATTGTCAAGTCCCCTTCATCAGAGGAAAAACAGTGACCATAACCGACTAAGCAACACTGAGGTCACAATAAAGACAGAAATGGTACCCTTACTCGCCATGTCCTCTTTATCAGAGAAGAAAACAGTTACCGTAATCCACTTAGCCACTGAGGTCACTATATATGGTACCCTCACTCACCCAGTCCTCTTCAGAGAATGTAGTATACTGAGCGACTAGCGTGTGAGTACTAATATGTTGCACTTACGTGGCGACTTACCAGGTCTCATTTGTTTAATGGTATAGTCATTGATGAGATGGTGGTTATGCTCGTTAAGGTTGCAATGTAGTGAGACACAGTCGCTTTGAAACAGAAGATCTTGCAGTGTGTATACCCGTGTGATACCTGAAAATCATGGGAAAAAAAACAAATTCGTGTATTCCACTAATAACGGCCAATTTCTCAACAAAAGCTACAGCAAAGATCAATCTGCATATTGTCATCTACTAAGTCATTTCAAGAAGCATCAAGATCTTGTAAGTGTAACTTGTGCTTGAAAAATATCAGATACAGTTACTCAACATTTATAAAGAAAGCGGTGAAAACATCATTCCCTAGGTCTTACATTTTATTGATATTAGATTGATCATTTCTGAAATATGTTGCAAATCATCATAACTAATCAATAATAATAATCTGGTTTGTGATGAGGCCGGGAAAGTTCCAAAATCTTACCTAATGATTTTTCAACTCCATCTGGTAAATATGGATCATAAAATATGACATTAAACCCAAACACTTTAGCTCTCAGGGCCACGGCCGATCCAACACGACCCAGACCAACTATTCCCAGTGTATCGCCGCGAATTCTTGCTGAACCGGATGCCGCCTCGCGTAATCCTTCAGGGCCGCTAACTTTCTTTCCTTCTCGTACCATGTTAGCTAGCCAGTACGTTCTTCTATATAAGTTCAATATCAAACAAATTGTTGAATCAGCCACTTCCTCTACGCCATATCCTGGCACATTGCACACTGCTATTCCTGAATGTTGGAAATAATAACATTAGAAATGACTATATTTCTTTTTGTTACAATTTCAAGGATAACTTGTACAAAACTCTACATGTTAATGCAGCAAGTTGTCTCCCTTTCTTCATAATACTATTAACAAGCCGACAGTCCTGACTGCAATACTAAAACCTGGTATAAAAAATTTATATGACAAAATAATCATCATTTTCAAAACATGAATAAGACAATAAGAAACATGAAATAAATTTTTGCACTGATACAATTTTTTCCCTCCTACCTTTATTTCTTGTGATGATGAGTAAAGAAGGTTTCACATTTCTTATAATCATTAATGGTAACAGGTTACAGGTTAATAACCTGTCATGCTGTCATAAAGAAGAAAAAATACATTTTGCTTTAGCTAGAGCTAGGCCCTTAGACAGCAGTAGCCTGGGACTTCCCAGTACCGTCCATAAACAAAATCAAACCAGGCCTGCAACATTTTCAATTTTACCCTTTTGAAGTCATATGCCACAGTAAAAAGGTTCTCCTGTTGTACTTGCAGGTTGTGTACGAATGCAAAACTCCTGATTATAACCTTTTCAACTTTAACTACAGATTCATGAATTGTATCTTTTTTGAATTGTTGAAGCCCAACTTTTAATTTGGTAATGTCCATAGTTAATTTTTTTTCATGTACATGCAGAACATGTTGGTCTGGACCTGTACTGACGACAAAGCGTTGTCAACAATGCATTCTGCCAGTATACAAGCATTTCGGTAAAATGTTTGCAAGCGTACTTACCAAATTCGCCTGCAGCTTTTACGTCTACATTATCATAGCCACTCCCTATCCGTACTATAACACGCAAACTTTTGAATTTTTCTAAATCTTCTTTGGTTAAAGTTATAGAGTGCCACATCAAGGCCCCAACAGCCTCATTTAACACCTGTAATAAAAATATTTCTTAAAACATTTGACAAAAATTTATTGTCTCATACTAGGTTGTCAGCTTGTTATATCATCATCAGTCTGTGACATGAAATGGTCCCTTTTAACTTGTGATGTATTACATTCAGCATACTGTAAACTATTAATTAATGTATGACACAAAAGTTCCCAACAGTGTGTAACATTGTTAAAAATCATGAACAGTGTGTGACACAAATGTCATGACGAGCGTGACACAAATGTCATGAGTGTGACACAAATGTCATGACTAGTGTTACAAAAATGTTATGAACAGTGTATGACACAAATGTCATGATGAGTGTGACACAAATGTCATGACTAGTGTGACACAAATGTCATGATGAGTGTGACACAAATGTCATGATGAGTGTGACACATATGTCATGACTAGTGTGTAACACAAATGTTGTGACCTGTGTGACACATGTCATGATCAATATGTGACTCACATGTCAAAACCCATGTGTAACACATAATGTCATGACCAGTATGTGACACAAAGGTATCCCAAAAAAGGTTTTCTTTTGCACAATTTTTTTTAAAGACAAGTGTTTTGATATCAACAAATTTAACCACTCAGCCACAGACAAACTTTGACACAGGTGAACCACAGTCCTTTAACTGGCCAGCTTAGGTAACTTCACACCATAGAAAGGTATAACTTTTAACACAATACTGACAGCATGGACACACAAGCTGGCCTGGTTTTATTCTATCATCATTACTACAAGTATTGCTACTTGTATGCAACATGTTACATTTGCTTATCTAATTTTCCTCAAGTGTTAAAATATTTTTTTTTTAAGTGTGAAAATAATTACTGGTTATTCTTACATATTGATAAAGGCTTTTAAAGCTACAATTTTTTCTATTTACATGCCAGTGAATATACTTTGTTAAAAGGTACATACAATAAGAAAATTATCAATTGAAGGAATCGTGAGGTATTCTTCTATGTAATATTGGAAATTTTTTTTTATCGAAGTTTAATACTGTATCAACAAAACTGTTTTAAAAATACATTAATATAAGAGTATAAACAGATCTTAACATTTGACAAGCTATACTACAATGTAATTTAAAAGACAGAACAAAGTATAGCATCACTGGTGATATGTGAAACTTAAGAACAAAGACAATAGCTATTTAAAACTAAAGTTTAACATGACAGATCAAAAGTTATTACCACCTGAGGCAGGAAAAGGCTCGGAAAAAAGTTCATGCAATTTGAGAGCACAAGAATTCAAATTTCTTTATTTTATTGGAATAATTTAACTGAAGAAAGTGGGTTCTTTGTAAACAAACACTTGAAATACATTGCTCACTTCTGCTCACCTATTTCTGATAGTTTGAGATGTGATAATGTATAGTATTGCTCTTCACAAATCTACGTAATGCTGACGTGCAAAGGATGCAAATATTAACACTTGGAGTACATCACCTTTCTTCCAAATATATCTAATTTCTCTCATCCCCACCTAGTGATAACATCTATGTGATATTCACTAAATAGCTCTTAGCAGAAAAGACTTCAAGTTTCATTGTATCCTCAGATCAATAGAAGAAGTGTACATTTAAATGTTATTAGCAAAGGACAATTGTCAATATATATAAATATATAGCAATACAGCAGACAACTATCCATGGACATTATTATCATATAATTTGTTGTGTATACCTTTTCATGTATTTCCGAGGTTGACTGAGCGTCGCAGAATGCCACTGTCGCCACGTCCTTTAAGATTGGCATCTCTACAGAGCAATCTCTCCCGTCCAATAGGGCAATAAGAGGCCGCGGGTGCATTGGCCCATTCGGAATTGGTCCACGTATACTAGCCACTGTTAAATACAAAGTGTTATATTTTTATTATAACAAAATCAAAAACATATAAAATAATGACAAATAACACAATCTTTTTAAAACAATATCATAAAGTTTTCACCCTATCATTTAGATTAGTGTATTACTTCTTAAGAAACTAAACAAAGTTTGATAAATGAATGTTTAATGTGGGGTAAAGCTTTTAAAAAGTTGGCAAATTCAATTAAACCAGAAGTAAGAGTAATGGATAAGTTATATCTTTTTAGACAATGAGACTTTGGGTTTGAGCTCACTCAACAATAACACTGAATATCAAAGACTGACCATTTCATAGATCTAAGTAAAGACTATAAGAATTTACACTGTCTGCCAGTACAGACCGGAATATCTAGCTCAAGGGTATTTGTTAAAGGTGGTAAGAGGCTCTGCCGAGTTTCCGCTAAACAGTTACCAGAGAGCTAGATATTCCTGTCTGTACCGACAGCCGGTGTTTGATTCTTTTTCTTGTATATTACATATCAATTATTTTCAGAACAGAAATTACGTAAAATAAAATTCTCATTATGCATTTTTTCTTATAGTAGCTTCTGAACTTACAAATTCATTCATAATGGTAAATGACGTCATCCTAAGAATGCAATTCATTTATAAATGACGTGGGGCAATGACGTCATTTAAAGCACGCTAAATTGTCTTACATGGGGGGTGCAAGACAGGTTTTTCTAGCACTGGTGTAAACGGTAGATAATCCTGTTTGATATGCAAGAATATAAATTGTACACATACTATTATGTCTTTCATTAAAAAAAAACTCACTTAATAAGATAATCTTCACATCGTAAACCTACTTATAATTAAAATGATATGCAGGGTCACATACAACTAAAGAACAAATGTACTAACAAGTTACAAATACCTAATTACTCTCATAATAACTTTTTTTTGTTAATCTTAATAATTATTTTTACATTTCCCCCTTATCAAACATATATTGCATATTGTGTACTTAACAACTCGATTTTATATCCTTTTGTTATCATATTTATTTCCTAATTAGATTATACTCATCATTTAAAGTTACAAGACCAATACATGTACTTCAGTTTAGGATATGACTTAACCATCAACCTGCTAGACATGAAGGTCACAAGCCTTTGCCACCAGTATAGAACTATGCTTACTACAAATGTGTGCAATCTGACCAGGCTCTGTACTGGTAATAGCTCAATTCTTGTATTTTGATAATAAATCCTTTTAACTTTGAATGGACTGTTCCAAATTCAAAGCTGGGCAAACCCATTACACAAATAAAAGCAGGTTAAGGCAGTGGTTGCTTGTACTGAATTTTTGTTCAATTAAAACAATTTTCAAAGTTAATTTAAGTCAGATTATTATCAAAGTCTAAATAGACTGATACATTGTTTTGTGCATTGTATAGTCAGGTCAGACTAATACATTGTTCTGTTAATTGAGCTGATACATTGTTCTGTGCATTGTGTTCTCTGGTCAGACTGTTACATTGTTCTGTGCATTGTGCTGTCTGGTCAGACTGATACATTGTTTTGTGCATTGTGTTACTGGTCAGACTGATACATTGTTCTGTGCATTGTGTTGCCTGGCAGACTGATACATTGTTCTGTGCATTGTGTTGTCTGGTCAGACTGATACATTGTTCTGTGCATTGTCTTGTCTGGTCAGACTGTTACATTGTTCTGTGCATTATGTTATCTGGTCAAACTGATACATTGTTCTGTGCATTGTGTTGTCTGGTCAGACTGTTACATTGTTCTGTGCATTGTGTTGCCTGGTCAGACTGATACATTGTTCTGTGCATAAAGTATAGTCTGTCAGACTGATACATACATAAGAAACAGTTACCACTTGCTTAGTTTAATCAAATTCTTAAAAATTAAAAGAGCAATAAAAGAAAAGGGCAATACTATTTGCTTTTGCTGACATAACTCCAATGCTGACATAAATCCAAATTAAAGTGTTACAAAAACTTACTAGTGGCTGGCACGTCTAATCTCGGTCTCTTCACTGCTTGAAACGTTTTGCCGTTTTCCATGAAGCGTGGAGTCACCTCCACTCAGTTATATATGTAAACCAGAGTCACTGCACTTCTGAGCACTAAAGTTACACAACCTGAAAGTAACAACATTTACATATAAATGGACTTTTCCAACAGTGTATTGCCTTGGCATAGGGTATCAGGATAGCGTTACCTTGAAATAATTTAAAGTCCATTGCTGGATTCAAGTAGAGCAGATTTGAAATTGGTGAATTAAGCCACTCAGACACAGAGATTAAATTGCTACAGCATTAACAAGATACAAGTCAGTGACCTAGTTTTTATTTCAAATGACCTATTATTCAAACCTGAACCTATATCATCAATAAAAAGATAATCAATTTTAATGTCACCACAATATTTCTTAAATACTATCACATTAAACACTGACCCCCTTTTTTTTGACCTCGTATATCTTACAGTCAACCTTGACACAGATATTCTCCAGACAAAAATATTTTCAGCATGTTTAAAGAAGGACCAGATCAAAAATTTCTGAAGTGTTCACAAGGCTTTTCATTGCATGGGCCTTATGAATTTCCTTTAAAACTTTAACCAGTCTTATCTGAACATAACATAGAAATATCATGATTGACACAAATATTGTAGTATTGAGTGACTAATGAGTGATTTTAGCCAGTACCATGATTTTTTATATTTAAACTTCACCTAGAAATAATTAATGCAAAATGCTCACAAGATTTAAGTAAGAATTGATTAAAAGTTTTTAAATAAAAAATTTTATTATGTATTACAAAAAATTCTAGAGTACTTTTCAATGATCTTTTTTTTTTTCAAAATTTATTTCAGATTTTAAAACTTAGGGGGAAGATAAAGTTTATACATGCTGATTATCCCCCTCCCAACACAAGCCTACACAACAAAACCTGACTTTTTTAATATCTTTAAAACCAGTTGGCTCTGCAAAATGTCATGCCCATGTATAACAAATAATTTTCACCCAATATCTCAAAATGACAAGATTTACAGTATGGGATATACAGCCTGATTCAACACAGCATCTCTGTCTGATGTAACATATTCCAAATACAACACATCTAATCAATTGTCTACTAAAGCTTCCTAGAGAGTGGTGGTTTTTTTTTGCTTTTCACAAAATGTGATAATAAATTTTGCAAACAATTATGCACTATTTGTGTGAGCAGAGCTGCTTTCTATCAGATGTACAGTCTTTTCTAAACTGTACCTCTTTGAAACCTGCTCATGGATAACAGAATTTACCTGTGTTATTTCCTCTCTCCAAACATTTATAAATCACTACATCAGACCAGATGGTATTATTACATGTATATTGAAATAACTTACAAATCCATGTTCTCGCTGAAAAACAACATCTTCTTCAAGAAATTTGTAAAAAAAAATTTCATTGCTAGGGTGGGATTTTAATTCTATGTCACATTTAATAAGTTTTGCTGCTTATTTTCCAAAAACATTCCAAAGATTTAAAAATTCTATTAGTCCGCTGCATTAAAGAGAACTCGATGGATGAGTGACTCTGAAAATATTTTTCGATGCCTGCATTCCTTGCCAGAGAAAATGTGAAAAAAAATTCAGCTCAGAATGATATAAATTTTATTTTGTTAATTCATCAGCAATAACCATCTATGTACTAAAAACTTTCATCATATTCTTCCTATCAGATTGTTTATCTTTTAACTATACAATTATTAAACTGTCATTATGTTATGCAAAGCATACATTTTATATATTATAATTCATATCCCCCCCCATTTGCCCTATAGACATAAAATATTTACACTGTTAAACTACACACTACCACTTTATGCACAATATTAACACGAGCTCATTTTTAGTAGCGAATATCATTATTACAAGGTTACGCTTAAATCGAAAACGAACATTTCCACAAATACATACATGAGGTATTTATTGTTTGACCTACAAACTTGCACACTTGTCGCATTTTCCGCTTTACTGCAGTTTCATATATCACAAACAAGATAAAGAAAATAAAACATGTACGGACAATGAATGGTTTACCTCGCTAACATTAACAGCTTATTGCATGTAACATTTTACTATCTGTTGCAATGCGGTTAAATAACCGATAACTCGGTATTTATTTACATTAATATCACCATGTATAAGCCATCGACTAAATCAATAGAGCATTTATCTAACAGAAGTGTAAGGCACTTCACGTAACTAAAGAAAAGAACCAATAAAAGCAAATAACCTTTACTAAATTTCTCATTGTTAAACGTCTCTCTCATGTATCTCAAACTTGGTCAATACACATGTACAATTTCCGATCAGATGTTTTTGAAAGACAAGCTTACAACCGATGCGATGCGGCTGTAAAAATCAATATTCATACACAGTGATAACTGACTTAATGTTTCTAACCGTCTGTGAAAATGACCTCATGCAGTACAAGGAAAATTCACGCCCTAATAATACAGAAAAGAATTTTCATTTTTGATCGCAAACAGATTTACAATGACAACATTGTTTCCATCTAAAATGATAAAATTTAACAGTGTTTAAATTCACTCTGTAATGGCGGTAAAAACATTCTATCAACCTAATTGTTACCGTGTATAAATAGATAAATAGGGGGAGAAAAAATAATAAACAGATCTGTATTTAAAATGGCATTCTGATCTATTGAATACTTGTACTTTTAAATCCATCTTACAGCTATGATATTGTTTTCAATGAAGTCTTTTGATACAGTGATATCAGAGAAAGATATTTACCTGTTGTCTTGCACTGAGATGACAGCTAAGGAGAAGGTGGTTTCCCTAGGGTACCAATGTCATTATGGTAGGAGACATAGTTACTACATTGTTCTGGTCCTGAAAGAAGAACAAAATCATATGTTTAATATTCCTGAATTTATGTTATAGACAGACCCTTACCACACTAATTATCTTAAATGGACTTGTCCATCTTACTATCTGGACAAAACCATTTATCAAGTGAAGGGGAATTTTCACTAGCTGAAATAGTGAAAATCACGATCAGACGGCACAGGGTGCATGTGTAGAATCACTTGCCACCGATGACAATATAAAAATTCTCAATAACCCAGTAAAGTACTTTCACATCCCCCCCATTTTTTTTTTAAAACTTGCTCTTTCCTAAACCAAAAACTATACAAATTTCATTAACATAAATTTCCTTGTAATTAAATCCACTTGTACTAGTAGTTGTACACCAATTTTCTGCTTTTCATTATATTTCTTTTTCTGTCATCATAAGCAACCTTGCTCACAATTTTAACATTTAACTTAGTTAAATATATTACTATCATTCTGCTTAATTTAAATATTTTATTTCAGTTTTCCTCACAAAATGTTTTTTTTTTATCAAAAACATCTCTAAGCTTCACAATATCATTTCTTTTTTTAATCGATGATCCAATATACATGGCCATGTCTAATTCATATCCCAAATAAACTTCACAGAAACCATCATTTATATCCCTAAAGCTCACAGCAGTCTTTTACAACTGGTGATGTCCCCCAGCAGAGAAATGTATCATCTGGCATGGACTAATATTTGTCAAGAATAAACATTCATTCATTTTCTTCAGATATCTACCCAGAAGTAAACATTTCATCAACATTCAGAATCCATTCATAACTGAATCACCTGCTTGTATCAATAAAAAACAGAAGTAATTTGTATTCATTCAAGTCAAATGATGGTATCCATAAAGAACTTTAAATAATTTTTGATGGTATCCATAAAGAACTTTAAATAATTTTATCAGGAAAAGCACTGGAAATTCAGTCAAATACTGGTATCCATAAAGAACTTTAAATAATTTTATCAGGAAAAGCACTGGAAATTCAGTCAAATACTGGTATCCATAAAGAACTTTAAATAATTTTATCAGGAAAAGCACTGGAAATTCAGTCAAATACTGGTATCCATAAAGAACTTTAAATAATTTTATCAGGAAAAGCACTGGAAATTCAGTCAAATACTGGTATCCATAAAGAACTTTAAATAATTTTATCAGGAAAAGCACTGGAAATTCAGTCAAATACTGGTATCCATAAAGAATTGTCAACTTGTCCAGTGGCTGTCATCTCCTGGTAACATCAAAGAACCAAACATCAAATTCAGAATTATGTTATTCGCTGGTAGTCATAAAGAAACTTCAAAATTTCAAGTCAAAGTCAGTTATCTACTGGTGTTCATAAAGAACCAAGCAAAGAATTAAAAGTTCAGTAAAATTCTAGCATCAATAAAGAATCAAACTTCACGCATGAATATTGTAGTTTTCATAAAGAACAAAATATCAGAATTCAGTAGGTGTTGTTTTTTTTGCTGCCAGCATCAATAAAGAAACTTTATAACCCATAAAGAAGCAACCATCAAATTAATAGCTTTAATAAAATCCTCCTTTGATATCCATTAAGAACATTTTCACTATATGAAATATCCATCACTATTTACTCCATTGAGAGGAAACTTAACAATCAAATCAGTTGTTGTTATTCATTTATGTCCAGATTTAAATAGTTCTTTAAATCTTTCCTTCTTTTATAATCTAACTGGCAACTGGCATGCAACTGTCATAATTACTTCACCTTTGATATCACAAACCCAAACTTTAAATACCTACCTGTGTTCTTTTTAAATAAACAATTCAAAGCACATTTTCAGTCAAACAAGTTAAAAGAGTACATCTTAATTCCAAACAGTTCAGAATATAAATTATTAATCAATATCATACAACTTCAATGTACCAACACAAAGGTTTTCCAAAGTAAAGACAAGGTTAATGTACTAAGGCTTTATATATACATGTATATATATGTTTAAGTTTAGATTTACAACTATATTATAATGTACATGAGAATATTATATTGATGTAATATCAGTATCAGTTGACATGATTTTCAGCTAACTACCTGATAACGAAGGCAAAGGAGATAAAGGCGGACACTTTATATATCAATAGATTCCACTTGCTAAATATTTAACTATAATTCAGCTAGTCCTTCCTATAATCCAATACAAAACCAATTTGCCAAAATATCCTCAGCTATAAATAGCCTGTAATCTAATATTCATTACACAAAGAATGCACACTCATTAAACAATGAAAAAGACAGGTTTAATACACGTTTTAACGGTAGTCATATATTGTGAAATGTTATTATGAATGACCTGCTATTATTCCCAGTTATTTTACACACACACGCTTTTCACCACAACACAACTCTACACAAACACTTCCTAAATCACTGGCTATGACTTGTGCACCCACGCATGACTTAAATACTTCAAACAAGTTCACGATCAGGTTACTGTGCACTCAAAGAAAACATTATAGTGATACCATCGGACATGTACAAACAATCCTCATGTATAAACAGTACACACTCACAATCACCGCTGTTTCAACTGAGATAATCTCCCTAGTCATAAATGTTGGGGGCCCTCGTGTAAAATTTCAATACACACACGAAATCTGAAGATAATTTCACCAATCTGCACTGTAAAATGATACAATCTTGCCTGAGAGTGTTTTAAGTTTTTGTTCTCCATTCGTATAATTTAGCATTAACACAAGGGTTAAGAAATTCAAAATTACAATATTATAATCTGTTTGTTAAGCTCTATTTCATTTCAACCACTTAAATGAAAATGTTTATAAAATATAATGAATACAAAAAAAGAAAACATGATTAAAAGGAAAAAGAGAGCATAATGTAGCTACTGAATTATAGAATTAAACAAAAACTGATATATGTTTTTTGTTATTGGAAAAAAATTATCAAAGCAGTAAAAGTAAGTATAAACCAGTCTAGGCTATAGACTATTGTGGTTCTACACAGGCTATTATAATCAAAGAATAATGTACTGGGGAATGCAATTTTTGAATTTTTAAAAATCAGTCATTGATACTGTTTTGCCTATCATAATGACACTTTTTGGGGATTTTTTTTTAAATCGGAGTGTATGAATAAGGAGGGGGTGGGGATGAAGATGCTACATTACAGTACTGCTCAGGGAATCATTACTGCTGCAGTTTTTATTCTTGTGGCAAAGGATATATACATATTTAAAACAATTGTAACAAATGTTAACGAGGAGCCCCTTTCAACTAAATAATCATAATCAACCACTAATTAATAACACAAATGAATGTGAGAACTTTGTATAAGTTTCTAATTATCCTTAAAATAGCTCAGTTTATACCAGCATAAAATACGCAAATTAAAAATTTCATTTTGCCATACTCTTTTTAAAGACAGCTCAGTAGATGACTAACACAGAAAACATTTACACAATAACACTGGTATAAAACCAGACAGTAAAAACAAGTCGAATCTAAAGCTCAACCTCATGTACATAAATCAGACTTGCCGTCAGTTTCTAATGCTGTGAACTGTGTAATAATATTTAACGTAGCAGTTGTAGGCCTTGAAAAAAATCCATATTATAAAATATTATCTATATATTTTTTACTTTTATAACATATACAAGCAGACAGATCTTTAATTTATAAACAAGCAGCTGTAACAAAATACTCAATAATTACATTGAATTTTTTTTTCTGTACAAACATGTTTACAAATATAGACTGTATATATATATATATATATATGAAATGAGCCGTGTCATGACAAAACCAACGTAGTGCGTTTGCGACCAGCATGGATCCAGACCAGCCTGCGCATCCGCGCAGTCTGATCAGGATCCATGCTTCTCTACTTGCTATAGGGTTTGTAAACAAACAGCATGGATCCTGATCAGACTGCACTGATGCGCAGGCTGGTCTGGATCCATGCTGGTCGCAAACCCATTATGTTGGTTTTGTCGTGACGCGGCTCAAATAAAGATAACATCAGAATTGTATCGATTTATATCAAGAGAAAATGTTTGTACTGTTTCTGCACAATGTTATATTTATAATATCAAATGTCATGTTTTTAATTAGCTTGTTCACTTTCCGTCTGCAACATTTTACAAACTGTCTAAATCATTTGCCATTACCTATGTATAAATAAACTTTTTTTTAATCACAAGTCAAATAATCATACATTTTGTACATGAACCTATTTTATAGGTTAAGTTTAACAATGTCTTAACTCATAATAAACAAAATTCAAAAGAGCATCCTTACCTTCACTTAAATAAACCCACCAGAAAAAAGACCCTGATTTATAATACTAATCCTAACATTAAACTTAAAAAATTTTAAATCAATAAATAAAGTGATCATCAATTGAATGTGTTGTAAAGTACAAAATAACAAAGGATTATACATGAGCAGTTTGCTTCAACCACCAATTTATTCATACCGGGATCAATAATCAAGATTCGTAATCGCAATATACAAACATTGCTTGTCCAATAATTTCCAATCTCACCGACTGTACATGTATGTTTGAAAATGTCATGATAACTGCAATCTGTACCACCGATAAACAACAAAGACTACAGCCATCAGTTAAGAACGAGACATTATTTCAATAATAGTATTCTACGGCACAATTTTTGTACATTACCAAGCGTCTGTAACTCCCCAAAAAAGATTTCCCTGTCACAAGGAATTCCTGATCCAAGAGGAATTAATCATGCATATCCATAACACTCCCCCCCCTTTCCAAACACATTATTCCACGCATTAACTTCATGAATTATACTACACACAAATACTATGACCTAAATATTGCTTCACTTACATTGGTATTTAAGCCTTCTCACTCAGAGAAAATTGGGTCCTCGAATCCGCTATTTAAAAGTTTTTCAATAAAGCAAATTAACAGAAGAAAACAGAAAGTACACGAGTATTAAAACACTACTGTAACACTTCCACACGCTGACTATTGATCAACATTTAAGATACACTACCCTTTTAACCAACAACAAAAGCTTTTCTGTTTAATCTAGTCCATATATAAAACCCATAGTACATTAAACGTTAACCTAGTCAAGTGAACGCTTTGCGGTATAGACAACTGGTGCTAGACACACACACTACATACATGATTATGTAGACAGTGAAAATATTTCCCCCGTTCTTCCTTTTTTTTCCAGCCAGTCCAGACTGTGTTATATTACGAGAAAACATTATTATTAATTTGAAAGAATATATATAGCAGGTCTGGCTCTGATGAATTAGAATTGCAATAAATAAAGTAAAGAGAAATTCTTTTAATAATATAAAAGAGAAATTTAATTTCAACCAATTTAAATCGAAATAAAGACGTAATTAATTCCTAATAATAAGCCTTCAGTGACTTCCTCGGCAGTTTTAGAATTTTTTTACAGTTCTTTAATCTCAGTTATCAACTAAAGTGAGTGAACATGCTTATTATTACAATTCAAAACAACATAACAAAGTGTCATAATACTGTCTATTGCATTTACAGTAAAACTTGTATGAAAGGACCAAGATTTAAGAATAGAGCGACAGCCACCCTTGCAGGTAATTGGTCTCTGAAATTGTACTTTCATTATTTTGTTGTTCTTAGACCGTCCGGTTAGCTCAATAGGTAGAGCATTCAACTGAATCAGGCGATCCAGGTTCGATTCCCGGGGTTGCAGGTCACTTTCATTATGAATGATCATGAAATCCTATCTACGGTCATTTGCACTGTACCTCTGCTCTGGCACGTAAGTAGTTATCCGTTACTTGTGGAAGTGAAGGCAACTAGTACAGGTAAACTGCTTGACAGCCTACCCAGGACCGATATAGTGGCTGAGTCTTAACTGTGCTATGGTAAACTCAATGTGGCTTACTGTCGTGTAAACTACCAGCACCATCACCTTGTTGTTCTTAGAACAGGATAATATACTGACAAGTTTTTCTTCTTCATGGGGTTTTATTAAGTGTTTGTCTTAAGCAAAAGTTTGATTGAACTGCATTAATTTTAAAACTTCCAAATTGTAAAATTCTATAATTAATAAGTATACGCAAAACTTAAATTGTAAAATCCATTTTCATCTTCAAAGCTAGCAAACTTTTAACTGCTGATCAAACTCTGCAGAGTTGCCCTCTTAAAAGGAATAAACTCCTATAACAATGGAATCTCAAGATGGAAAACTCCAAATACAAACAGAATTTGCCGCAGGATGAGTAGAAAAATTGTAAACGAAAATTGATGATGTCTAGATGACCAAAGTAAAAGACCACTAGTATTATAGTCAACATTTGGCTATAAGACCCCCCCCCCCCCCCCAAAAGGTTGGAATTTTGGAATAAGTATAACATGTGCACTGTATGTTTTCTCAATCAATTCATATACCACAAAACATCAGCTCGATTTAAGCGCTTTTTTGCTAAATGAAAAAACTTGTTAAAGTTGTTTATTCCAGCAATCTTACTTTCCCCCATGTCCAATTGATATTTGAGTATTCATTAAATAAATAAATATATCTATATAAAAAAATCTAAAGCTGTATAGCAAATTTTGAAAATCATGCCGGGTGGGGAAATGCAGGACAAGTGGTGTAGCATGCAAGATGAGTAGAAGTTTACAGTCTCTCACCATCTTGCAAGACAAGTGGCTCTGAACATTTCTTTTGAACCTTTACCATTTATGTTTTCAATTAAAGTAAAACTTTACAATAGATTCAACTTATCTACAGCATAGCAAAACTCTCAAAATCTTCATCTCTCAACAATGTTGTTTTGCACAGGTTTTACTGTACACTAAATTTTGAACAAAGACAGTAACTCCTCATGGTTAACTTTTGACATCTATGTTAAAGATAGTTATCATATAAAATAGTTTTAATCTAATAAGGTAAGATTATACTTACTAATTCAGCAGAAAAATAAACATTTATTGGCCACTTTTAAACTTAGTATCTAAGAATCATTCTTAATTTCCTAACTATAAACTTGACAGATTATAGTACCATAAATCCAATAAAATAATTACAGTACAATTACATAACATGTAACAATACAATACAGCAAGACTTGTTCACCAGTTGAAAAAAAAAACACTTAAGTAGAAAACTTGCAACTACAGGAAGTCATTTTCAAAATAATGCTTTCTGAATCATATTATTCAAGTCAACAGAAACAGAGCTCTTAACAAAAATGCAACAAACAGTAAACAAAGTAGTGAGGGGATTTACCAACACTCTGTCTCTGCTAATCAGGGCTTTACCAGAGCAAAAGTTGTTGCCCCCCCACCCCCCACCCGGTTTTTCCCAGGTGGCTGGAGGGGACCCTTGGTTATGAATGACTAGTACATAATAAATATATAACCAATTAACAGCTAACAGGGACGTCCTTTTTCTCCAGGGATCAGTCTTTTAGAAACAGGTTTTTCTGTACCAATCAATTAACTTATAATTAAGCCTTTTATTGTTGCATACTGATAATAAAACTCCTCCCAAAATCATTTCTACAATCATGCAACTCGACAAAAGGTGTGATGATTTTTTGCATTTGTGGCCAATTTGTAAATGTATGTTCATTCTGAAATGAAAAACGTTCAATTTCAAAAGCTATCAATTTTAAAAATATAGATTAAACACGGGTCAAATAAACCTACGATTTAATTATATAAACGTATTAAACATAATCATATGAACTGAATCTTAAAACGTCACCCTCAGCACTTAAACCATTCAAATAGATATTTATAAACCTATAAATACTAAATGTACACAATGAATAACATAGCACATGTTTGTGTATCAAAAACTATCTTCGATTTACTTTAGATCAACTCCACACACTGATCAAAAATTCAATGTACTCTTGTAAGCAGATAAATATGGTATTGTACATGATCGACCAATATACATGTAGATCCTCGGCTGTCTAGGATTTTAAAATCTAAACTATGCGCAATGAATGGTAAACAAGAGCTACCAGTTAATTCAGCTACAGATATAATCATAGCCAGTATGCACACGCTTCATGTATATGTCCTCAATGACTGTTTCTAAAAATAACTCCTCTCATATTTTACCTGTGTACAGGTATTGTATTGCTGTATTACACTTGTATAAACAAAATGTTCCAGTGAACATTTTCCCCTGTTTGATCTTTTTATCAATAAAGGTAGGAAAATTCACATTACAAATAAATACCCACATGCTCGATGATAGTGATGTATATATGATGGCTATTGACATTTACACAACCGCATAATTATGTACAAATCCACAATTATAGTTGAAAATGTGTAATTTTAAACACATGCATTATTAGCTTTAAATTTTCAACATAATTTACCAGCTTCATTAACTCATTACATTTATCCTAATGCAGAATGCATGCCTATTTATATTCTGTGTGTTAAATTTGCTAATGCCTTAATCTTGATTGACATTTTTGTTTAATTGTTTTACAGTTTTTACAAAATATAATTAACTAACCTACAACACTGAGGTCAGGCCGACAATGTTAATGGCCTAGAAATATCAAAAGGCACCCTAGGTCATGACCCTTTTCTATCCGGTAACGCAGATCGGTTTGCCCTCCAGTTGACTTGCAATAAACTATTTTATTTTTTTCCTCTATAAAAATAACATCTAAATTATAAAGAAATTATATGCATCCTAATAAGTGGGACATAACACCAACTATCCTTTATCATTACAATTTGTTTGAAATTTAAATTTATTACAAATACAATATTCCAAACAAAATATTTTGGGCAATGATGATTTAAATGCAAGAAAATACAATGATTTTTTTTAATACGTATAAATCTCTTGTTGCCATTAATCACAATATAAAGCTGTTTAACATTCTTTAAAATATTAACCAAGCTAAATATCATAAAAGGACATCTTTCAACCTGGACAAAACCATTTATTAATTTCAGGGAAAAATTTCAAAATATGAAGAGAATGAATTGTGAACAGGATGGACCATGATCAGATGACAATGGCAGCTGGCTAAAGAGTAACACTTATATAAGATCATAGCAGCAAATTCTTTTTTCTATTCATTTTTGTTTCTCATGCTCTTCCATTATCTGATATATTTTGCTACTTATTAATTATGCTTAACCATGGTCTTTGATCAACATTTTTTTAAGTTACTTATAGTCTTTATTAACTGCCATATTATGCTAATTATGCTCTTCCATGGTCTGTGATAAGCCTTTTTTATTACTTATGCTCTTCTATTGTCTGTGATAAACCTTTTTGTTACTCATGCTACTCTACTATACTGTTACTCTACTATTATTTGTGATGATTTTTATCTGTTGCTCATGGTCTTCCATGATCTGTAATAAACCTCTTTTGTTACTAAACCATTTGTTACTCAAGTTGTTACTTATGGTCTTCCATGGTCTGTAACTAAACCATTTTTTTGTTACTCTTGCTCTTCCATTGTCTGTAATAAACCTTTTTTGTTACTCATGGTCTTCCATGGTCTGCATTGAACATTTTTTGTTACTTATGATCTTCCATGGTTGTCTGTAATAAACCTTTTTGTGTTACTTTTGGTCTTCCATGGTCTATAATAAACCTTTAATGTTACTTATGGTTTTCCATTATCTACGATATTTTGTTACAGTACTTATGCTCTTCCATAGTCTTTGATAAACCTTATTTGTTACATATGCTCTTCTATTGTCTGTGATTTTTTTTGCTTCTCATGCTCTTCCATGATCTGTGATAAATCTTTTGTTACTTTACTGACCAATGCTCTTCTATTGTCTGTGATAATGCTTTTTGTAACTCATGCTCGGTCATTGTTGGTTATATTCTTTTTTTCGTTACTTAAGCTCTTCCACTGTCTGTGACAATCTTTTTTTGTGACTCATGTCCTACTGAGATTATCTTTTTTGTTTCAAAACTGTGACATTCCTTTCTGTCTGTGTGCTGTGTTCCATTTTTATCTGCAACTGTCTGTGACAAAGCAGTATTTCATTTATACCAGTCAGGGTTCAGTGTGTTAAAACACTATGCTCTTTAATTGCTTGTGGCATGGAACATGCAAGTCCAAACACTAGTCTTGTGTTTTTATTCTTACAGTAAATTAAACATCTGACAATACCATTCAGTCCAAAATTTTCAATATTTATAGCAAAGACAATTTCTGTAACATAACAATTTTATGCTATTTAGAATGTCTCTGACATACAGAACTACTAAATCTGTCTGTGCCTCAACTGGGTAACTTACTGCGGCTTGTATGTAATCACAGTTTTAATTGTAACAGACAGTTTCATACATAAAAAAGTCCACTGATCAGCAAGGTGTTCATGCATCCCCTCAGTATTAAATAAATGTTGATTTTGATGTGTTTTTCATTATACAAATTCATACTAAAATCAAAGGGCAATATGACCAAGAATGACAAAAAGATGGACAGTGTGCTGGTCTATTCTCAGAGCTTAATAGTAAATCATCAGTTGCAACAGAAGGAAATAATTTAATGTACGGTGCCAGAGTTATTGATCTTGGTCAGCCATCTACAAGTAAGAGTTATGGGTCTTGGTCAGCCTACAAGTAAAAGAGTTATGGGTCTAGGTCAGCCATCTACAAGTAAAAGAGTTATGGGTCTAGGTCAGCCATCTACAAGTAAAAGAGTTATGGGTCTAGGTCAGCCATCTACATGTAAAAGTTATGGGTCTTGTAAAAGAGTAATGGGTTTTGATCAGCCTACAAGTAAAAGTTTAAGAGTTATGGGTCTTGGTCAGCCATCTACAAGTAAAAGAGTTATGGGTCTTGGTCAGCCATCTACAAGTAAAAGTTATGGGTCTTGTAAAAGAGTAATGGGTTTTGATCAGCCTACAAGTAAAAGATATGGGTCTTGATCAGCCATCTACAAGTAAGAGTTATGGGTCTTAGTCAGTGATCTACACATAGGAGTGTTATGGTTCTTAATCAGTGAGGTACAAGTAAAAGACTTTAAAGGTCTTGGTCAGTGACCTACAATTGATGGCATTAACCTTTTTTTAGCAAAAAGGCCAGCTGACAAAGGCAAGCACGTTTTCAATGCAACAAAAACAGAAACCTAATAAAAACCAAATTAATCTTTACAAAATCTTTATAACTTGCAAGCAACAAAATAAATGTACAGCCATTTTTTTTTAATCACGTTCACTAAACGAACGACACGCAGAATACATATTACAATTACGTAACTTCTTTATTACCATCTTGTTGAACACGGAGCATAGTGTGACATGTAAGAACACGAAACCTATCGCATAAGGTAGAAACCAAAACGCACACGCCTATAAATTTTCATACAAAATGTCAATTGTCACGACAGTGTCTATAAAGTTAAATGTTCACTACCTGGTGTCAAATTTCAGCGTTATTATTAAATACAGAAATAAAGATAGCAATACAATCCTTAATGCATGTACAATAAATTCTATCAGCGTTTATAATTACAAACAAGACATTACCCAAAAAACAAATATACCAGCTTTTTCATATATCTTTCAAAGAACTGCGGAACTGTTCATGAGTTTAAGAGATAAAACTTTAACTTCAGTCTAATACAATATTAATGTGTGTAAACTTTTCCTTGCCTTGACTGTAATAAAACAGCCCTTGATCAGCAGGACTTGACACAATAAATTCTTTTTCTTTTTTGTTGTTTTAAATAAACTAATTAATAGAGCAGCAAGAGCAATAAAATTAGTCACAAACTTGTTTATCTTTTATCTAAAGAGAAAGACTTATCATTATTAAATAAGGCACAGACTGCTACCCAAGTACATGATGTAACTTTAAAGCCACATGTCTTCAGATGCCCCAAATTTTTTAATAAAATCAAACCTGAGAAAAATGTTCAAGATTTTAAGAAAAGTTAAAGACTCTAATTTAAGTAATAATTTACATGATATATGCAATACTAATTTACATGATATATGCAATTAATTAGTGATTTGGGTGTATTTTTCACTATATTTCTACTGTGTGACTAACGCAGTAAAGTTTTTTTTTTGCAAATTTTGAAGTTCTGCTTTTGGCAATTTAAATGGTATGCTAGTGCCAATTGTAATGTGTAAATTACTTTCTTTGTTTACTTGACAATATTTTTCTTTAATATAAATTTTCAAGATTTTCATGAATCTGCTTTAAGCTAGCTTGTTAAAACGTACTTTCAGTATCATAACCAGAGGTCTTAAAATACAAGAATCTACCAATCTACATAATACATTTTAGGTGCAAAATTATAATGTGTATTCTCTTAAAAACCAATATTAATCATTAACAGTTAGTCGGATATTTATTGATAACCTTAATATGCACTAATAAGATACCTAATCAAAGTTTCCACAATAAACAAGATCCAAACTGTGTTAAAAATTTTGGGATTATTTCTACAAATCTTAACTATCTTGGTTAAACAAATCTTACATCAAGATCAAATTAAACTTACAACCTTTTTTTATCTTTTTTAACTGACCATGCTAAGAAACTAACAGCTAATTTCCTCTACCTCAATTCATATCCTGTATACATAACACCTTTTTCCTTTTAAACATTTCCCTCTTATCTCCCTTTGTACAAAATACAAGCTGTATGAATTTGGCCTAGTTTCGCTTTTATCAGGTGAAGTTATTATTCAACTGTCAAGAATGCTAGGATAATAGCAATCTACACATGTACTAGATATGTAGATATACAGGAAACTTATACCAAAATCATGTACACTATCCAGTTTACATTAAACACATAAACAAACACGACTTTTTTACAGTGAATAAATTTGGCTTGCCTGTATTACTTTATACATGGGTGTATTTTTTTTGCCATATTAAACTTTTCATATGATTGTTTTTGTTTTTATTTGATATTATAAACTCTTACACTACTATAAACTCACACTTTAAAGGAAATCGCCATAAAGAAAAACATTGTAATAAAATTAATGCGTTTATGCATACTAAAGATGATTCAGTTTAACAACCTTGAGGAATGAAGTATTGCTTCGATAAACACACTTTAAATGTTTAAAGCACGCATATACTTAACTGTGAAATATCAAAATATGAATTATAGACACATATAATATAAACAAAGAAATTTATTCAACAGTTAATTTTTAAGTGCAAACTTTTACAAGTGCACTATGAACTTGATTTTACAGCTGTTTTAAATCAATTTAAATACTTCCTACTTTGAACAAGTTACGGAAACGAAGGGAAACAGGGATGATGACTCTAGCAAGACTCAAACTCATGCCGCAACTCATTCCAATGACTCAAAAACTCAGTTGCACACCACAGCACAATGAAGTTCCATCTTAACAACTAAAAGACTAAAGCTATTTTTTGATTCATAATGCTTTCATTTAACATTACGCGGGTGAAAAAGTTTGCTTAATTGTTATACATGTACATTGTTAATTTAAAAATGTACATTTTTACCCATATCAATGACGAGTGTGACAATTGGAAGTTTCCAAGTTTGTTTTCCTTTTCTCCTCTAGAGTAGATACTGTAAACTTCATTATTATTTCTTTAAAACAAGAGCCTGACTGTAAAGCTAAATTAAGCTTATGTCATCTGCTGATGTCATAATTTGAAGCCATAACAATGGAAGTGCTTCAGGGTTTCTGTTAATGGGTGTTTGGGAGTCATGTTGGCTTGTGACTTCCAAAACGTAATGCTTTTCCTTCTTTACCTACATAATGTGACTTCCAAAATCAGAGATTTTGTAGTCTCTGACTTCCAAATTTTGAAACTAAATGGAAGCCAAGGGTGCTTCATGAAGTAAAGGTCAATGTTGAGATTTTTTTTTGTGGGCTACACCCTTTTCCCAGAAAGTAAAATCATTTACGTATGTACATGATATATATAACAATCCCTGAAAATATATTTGTATTAAGTACAAAATTTATGTATATGCCAAAAATTTGCCTTCAACAATTTACAGCAAAAAATGTTTCTAAGCATGCCCTGGCCTATATTTTTAAATTCAGCTTAATGAACAATGAAAATCAAACTGCAACCTTGACCTCAGTTCTAAATCCTTTCCTGTCTACAAGCAAAGCATCTAGGACCTTATAAAAAGAAATATTTCTCAAATACATATTAAGTTTAACATGCAATGTTGATGCAGCATCCTCCTTTTATTCGGTCACAGCTCATTTATAAAAGCCACTTATTGTATTGCTTTGGTAACGGAGAAAAAAATAATGTGTGTTCAAATTGATCCGACATACGGTAGTGAAATATTCCAAGCATGCGACTGGAAACATCATCTAAGAAATGCAAAAGCTTAGTGCAATATAATATCGGGCTGTATTATACTGGGCCGGCTATAATTATTGATCAAGTTATACATGCCAGAACAGCTAAACATCACAAAATCAATGATAAAACATGGGTGATCTATTCGCTGTTCTCTCGTCTTTCAACAAAGACCTTGCATAATAATTCTACATGTACAAAAAATAATTTTGAACAAACAAAAAAATAAAGAATTCTATTAATAAACTTCTGTCTGAATAATAATGAACTTGAATCATGAACAGGAACCAGTATGATCATAGCATAATACTATGACATCAACTTTTCTTATGTAATGTATTTTATCAGCTGTTTATTATTAGAAAACAAGCAATATCAAAATACCAACTATAATTTCAGACAAAAAATGCATTTATTGAAAAATTTTCAAAGACAAACACTTATTTTTCACAATTACCTAAAAAAGAGAAATCCACTTCCAAAGGGAAGTAACTTTTCTCTGATGAAACTATTTATCAACAGCACATATAGGTTTACTTCCCCTGATCATCATCTCAGAATATTCATAATACATGGTAGGAGCATTTTGTTTGAACAAATGTCAGTATATATGATAACACCGACATGCAAATAATTAGCTTTTTACTTGCATAGGATGACCTCAAGTGCCTAATTTGTGCATTGTTGGTGTAGAACCACTATAATTCCCTTTAATAACTAGCTAAATAGTTTCCTGGCATGATCCATAGTCTGAATTCAAACACGCTGCTATGAGGGGCAACTGACCAAAGATACTCACTGACCACAATAACTTTACCAGAGGGACTCTTGAACTCTAAAAATTCCCAAAATACAGTCGTTTTTGGTTCCAACAAAATTTAGGATATAAATATATGCCCATCTCATAATATATGTGTCATAGCCAGGGCCAAAACACCATTTTTGGGGAAGGGGCCTCAGTCTTTTTCTTGGGGAAATATGCGTGATTTTGGCATATTTTGGGAAAAGGGGTCTTAAATTTAACACAAAATTTTAAAAATGTTCTTCAAAATAGAAAAGCAAAAAGCACTGGGAAAAACTAATAAGGCAGTAAAAGACCCTAATTCAACAACATCATTTAATTTTGTTCTAAATTCTATGAGAAATTTCAAAAAACTGGGGAATTTTGAGGACCAAACTGGGGAAAAAAAGAGGCTAGTTTGGTTGGGGAAGCAGCCTATATTCGGCCTCTACAAAGAAGGGTTTTTTGGCCCTGATAGCATACACAGATACAAAGTTGATCATACAAAATGTTACAATAGACAGCTTTAGATGAAAAGATAGCACAATTTGAATTTTACAACTTTGAATCTCAGTGAATCTAATTGCTAAATACTTCACAAGTTACATGTGGAAAAACTCAATCAAAGTACATATTAAATGCACAATCACAACAGGTCCAGTGCCGTAAGTTTGACTCCATCTCACCTGCATTCTTGTACTTTAAAGCAGCCTTCAGCTTTTCTTAAGGTTAAACATGTTATTTTAAGATAAATTGTTTGATATAATTGTCAAATCAAAGGAATTAAGGTATAAAATGAAATTCCCTGTCCATAAAATAC